GGGTGAGGAGGGTGGTCGTTAGGGTCATTTTGTTATGGCTTTGGAGGTTTCGGGGGAGGGGGCGGGGGAGGGGGTTGTGTAGTGGTGGTGGTTGTTGTGATGAAGGATGGTGTTCGTGGTTTATCAGGTGGGATCATCCGGATGGGTGGGGGGAAATATGATATAGTGTAAGTTAAGGTTCGGTTAGGGTTGGGAAAGTATACGGACTGCCGACTGTAACGCTTGGGCTACGACTGAATTCGGGTCCTGGCACATATCTGTGTCCTACCGTGTGACAAGCAATGCTGCATGTTTCATTGTCACGAGTCATCTGTCTCACTAGTTAAAACTAACTAGTCCGAGTTAAAATACATGTCAGGTCGGGGCCGTCGATCTTCTGAGATCTCACATCTGTCTGAAGGGCATAAACTCAATTGCCAGCCTTGTATCCCAGGATACTAGCCACCAACGCCTCCAGCGCATAATGCGCATCGTTACCCGCATTGTGAAGATGCCACGGCTCCAAGCCCAGCTCTGTCATCACCGTTCCCAGGGATCGGGGTTGCATCGGCTGCTGCTGCTGCGGATCGGCATGCAAAGCGCAATCAAGTCCGGCAGTATCCAAGCGGTCATTCACCATCTCCAGTGTCACCCCGATTTTACGTAGGTGTTCCAAATCAGCGGCGAGACTGTGGCCAACAAGCACCACATGACGATCCTCCGATTCATCCTCTTTCTTCTCGGCGACAGCCACCTGCTGGAACGCCTCCTGCACGACCTCCTTCAGGTTTTCCAGCCCCACGAACTCACTGGTCCCGAACCGAAAGTCCCCCGGGCAGCCCCTCACGAACTCGTTGTTGACAAGATGGCTGTACTCGCGCACGCGCAAGTGACGGGACCGGATGGCCCTGCGCCAAATGACCCCATCCATCGAATAGGGCCGCACGCCGTGCAGCTTGCGCATATCCAGCACCGAGAGGCCAACCTCCGTGATCTGGGAACTGCAGCGCTCGTTCCATTCCACATCCACACTGACGAAGATAGGATCCTTCCAGAACGCGAACGGGGCCACGGCGTTCATGTTGAATGGGGCGTATTTCAGGGACTCGTCGATGGTGCCCGCGGGCCGCATCCCCAGGTACTGTTGCGCGCGGAGCAGCGACTCCTTGCGCCGGTGCTCGAGCTCCATGCGTTGCTGCTGCTTCTGGGCCGCGTTGGTCTTTCTCTTACTCTTCATGGCGTCGCAGGCGGCTTCCAGCATCGCCTCGTAGGCGACAGCTAGCTCCCTGTGCTCGTCGCCCAGGTCTTTCCAGGGGTCGAGGTAGCGCTCGGAGGGGGGTGGCACACGGGCTTGCAGACGGTCCTTGGCCTCCCGGTTGGTGCTGGTTCCCAGGAACTTCGGCTGTGGGTATGCATCATTGTCGAAGGAGAGGACGAGGCCCATGTCGCGCTCCGCCGGGAGTTGGAGGGTGCACTTGAAGGTGCGGTTAATCTCGCCGAGGAGGCGGCGGGCGTGTCTAGCTGGGGTGAGTAGAATGCATCGACAGCCCAGGCTGGAGGGCGTATAGTGGTAGTAACTGACAAGCATAAGAAGACATTAGTGATAATGAAAATGCTTTGCTGGGAGAGGAATGAGCATACATGTCCCAAGATCGGGCCCAGAATTGGTTCTTGTCGAAGAACCGGCTGGCTATCTGCTGGGACAGGCTGTCGTCTTTGATGAGCTTGTATGGGTACCGTGAGAAGGCGATAATGGGAGTGAAAGTCTTGTCGCTGGGGTCTTCATGCAAGGACTCATCGGTCGCCGTGCTTTCTTCAGAATCCAACTGTTCGGACTTGAGCACTGCGCGCTTGGCTCGCGCTGGTCTTATGCTGACATGCTGCAGTTCGCCAAGCACAAGTTCCTCGAGTTCCGGTCCTTCGAGGTCGCTCTCAGTGGGTAGGTGTTTCTGGAAACTGACCTCCTGGAATTCAACACCCTCAGAACGATCGTCCTTATGCTCGTCGTCATGTTTGAGATTCCCGAGCTGGATACTCTCTGGCTTGGTGTTCTCTGGTTCTGTTCCTTCGAGCTTGGCCTCCTTAGACTGGGCTTCCTCGGGTTGGTATTCCTCAGTCTTGGTATTCTCTACCTTTGTTCCTTCGGAGTGTCCTCTGAAGGTGGGTTCTTCGGGCACTCTTTCTTCTGATATACGAGGGGTAAGAATTGTTAGTCCATCATATCTCTTACTATGCGAAATAGCGTAATCAATGGTTCAGGCCAATGGTGTTCACGCGCATCCCCGGTAGGATTCCCAAACCAGTCAACTTACGGTTAAGACGAGTGTCCATCTTCAACAGCTCGTCCTCCCCAGCAAACAGGTAGCTGAGTCGCTGGACTGGTGTCATTTTAGTGGTGGTTTTTGACCTTTGACAACGTGGTTGAGTAGCGGGGAGAATTGATGGCAACGCAGATGAGAATAAAGAGATTGTGGGAAGAAAAAAAGGGAAGAGATGATGAGCAGGAGGGGCAAAACACGTCGTTTGTTTGAGGAACAAACGGCGGGGCTGTAGTTGTGCAACATCGTAGCAAGGAGGTACAAGTATCGATTCATTCACTGAAGGGACATACTAGGTAGTAGCCTTCACTTTATTTTTTGCATGTTTCCGGTTCTGTTCATGTGTGCTGAATTCACTATATAGAGTGTAGCAAATACTGATTTTAAGCAAGTTCTTCACTACACCAGTGAAGCAAGTATTGCGATCTGTGTAAAAATTGTTGGTGGTGTAGGGAATGTTCACACTTGTGTTTTTGTCCGTCAAGGCATACAGCATATATGTTGTGGGGTAGTATCGATACTTGACCAGTAAGTCAACATCACATGTCTTTATCACCGCCATACTCTACCCAAGTACATACTGGTAAAGTGTTTAGTCAGTCCAGGTGGATTTCTATGATGAATCATTCTGCATCCACATACTATCCAACAACATTGCAGAATATCAACATCTCTGGGTCTCCACAGCTGACAGCTGTCGGATCAATCTTTCTCCCCTCTCCATGCTGAGTCATTTCTCGATTCAGCCAATCATTGTTTATCTCCTTCCACTTCCACTTCAGCTTCACTCAACAATAACAAGACAATTGCACAGCTCAACCAATCGATTATTCGCCATTCTTTCTTCAATTTGCAGCTGGTAGCTTGTGCAGACTCTTCTGTCTGGCAAGCTCTCCCCATCCATGTAAAAGTGCGGACCAGTCCCTCTTCATGGCCGCACCCTCGCCCAGGGTGCCGTCCGTCCACCACCTGTGACCATCTGTCCGCCCGTTCCTTCGACGCGCCTTCTTTTGCTCCCTCCCTCTCGCCTTCCCACTCCTACACTCTCTCCGTTTACTTGTTGGATGGTATGGCGGACTACCACGACCCTGGGGGCCTCATTCTGGATGGGCCTTTTGACCCCGACGCCCAAGCCACTGTCACTGACTACATTGACTACACCGAATACCTGCCCGCCGACCTCCTCCGTTCCCTCACTCTCATCCGCGGCCTCGATGAGCGCTACCTGGACGCTACCCAGTGCGTCCACGAGTTAACCAAAACATATGGCCGCCTTCCTGACCTTCCTTCCGATCGGCGTCCCGATGCGCGCGCCCTGCGCAAGGACATCTCCGCCCAGCTCGAACGCGCCATCAACGCGCGCGAGTCCGCCTACGCTGAAGCTTGTCGCCTATACGAGGTCATTGACCGTCACTACAGTCGCCTTGATTGCATCAAACGCAAGCTAGAGGCTCTCCCCAAACCCGCATCGCGCGAACCCACACCACCCCCCGCTCCTCCTGTCCAGACACTCACAACCACCAAGCGCGGCCGATCGATCAAGAAGGTTGATGACAATGCTGCGGCTCCTGCGCCGCCGACTACGCGCATTACCTTGCGCCTTGACAGCCGAGAAGGTAGTCGCGCAGTTGCGCAGCCCAAGTCGCGCACCCGTCGATCGCTCATCGCCGCCGAACATTTGACCGACTTTAATCCCGATTCTCCCATCGCCAGCACAGAACATTCTGATGACGAGGCGAACGCTCCGACAACGTCCTCCGATTCTCAGCCGAAACCTGCCGCTGCTCCTCCCGTTGCTTCTGTCGACTCATCTACTCCCACATCCACCACTTCCCCTGTCAAAGAGAAGAAAGCCGCTCGACGTTCACGTGGGTCTGGGCTGGTGCCTGGGGTTCCAGGTACCAGTGGGCCTTCCATATCGATCAGCGGTGCACTGGCCATGCTCAAACCACCCCCTGAAGATGCCAAGCCTGGCAGTGAGGACATGCCGTGGTTGCGGCTGACTGAGTGGGAGATGACCAAGCTTCGCAAGAAGATGAAAAAGAACGCGGTGTGGCAGCCGAGTGAAGTCATGATCCATCGCGAGTTGGCGCTCCGCGGTCGCGGTTGGGGGGCTTACCGAAAGGCCAAGGAAGAAGCTGATGCGTCCGGGACTGAGTTCCTTGACTGCGACGACATTATGAACACGTACATCCCTGGAAAGCTAAGCAAGCGCGGTGAAGCACCTGTTGACATTGAGGCACCGTTTGAGACTAAGCTAAGCAATAGAGGTATGAAGCTGAACGAGGCTAAGAAGCTTAAGCGTGAGAACCAGGCGCGTGAGCAGGCAGCGGCAGCCGCTGCTGCAGCCGCTGCGGCCGCGGCCGCAGGTGATCTCACAACAGCGAAAAGCCCTGATCAGCCTACATTAACACTCAAAGGACCTTCCGCTCCGGAAGCGTCACCGGCTGCAAGCAAACCGAGTCGTTCTACCGCAAAGAAACGCAAGGCGGACGAAGTAACTCCGCCAGAAGCGACCCCTGCAGCTCCTGCAGCTCCTGATACTGTTACTTCTCCTGCTCCCGTTACTGTTACTTCTCCAACTCCCGTGGCGTCCCCACCCACAGCTGCTCTCATTGCTCCGCCTGTGGCAGCGGCTGCTCCGGCAGATTCTATAATCCCAGTAGCTCCGGAGGCTCAAGAAGCTCCAGAGGCCACAGAGGCTCCAGAGGCCACAGAAGCTCCAGAGGCCACAGAAGCTCCAGAGACTACAGAAGCTCCAGAGACTACAGAAGCTCTAGAGACTACAGAGGCCCCAGAAGCCGCAGAGGCTGCAGAGGCTGTAGAAGCTCCAGTGGTTCTAGAGGCTGCAAAGGCTCCAGAGACTTCTGAGGCTCCAGCTGCGCCCGCTGAATCTACCACTCCTACCGAGGTAGAGACACGAACCTCGTTGCGCAGCGCCAGCAAACGCCGTCGGATCAGCAAGGGATCCTTCACTCCTGCCGAGAGCAACGCAACCATGCCAAACCCGGCTCCACCGACCGGCCCAGATGCTGCTGCGGCCGAATCAGCCGATGCGCAGAAGCAGCCAGTCTTGTCCTCCCCAGTCAGCAATAAACGATCCCTTCCCCCTCCAGCTTCAACTACTACTGGCAAAGCACCAGCCACTGGCACGCCCACACCCCCGGTCACTCGACCTTCGTCCCGCCGAGGTGCAGCCCTGTCAGCGGAACCGACCAGCAACGCGAACACCCTGCCAACAACCGGCCGCGAGCTCCGCCGGAAGAGCGCCACGCCTGCGCGACGCACGCCTGTTCCGGAGACGGCCCGTGCCACAAGTGTCAGCGCGCCCCATCGCAAACGGAAGCGCCCTGCGCCCGGTCCCGTATCGTCAGGCCAAGATGGCGGGGCCGCAGTCAGCTACGGCCGACGCAAGGCCAAGCCTGGCAAAAAGCGCATTAATTTGCTTGAGGGGGACCTTCTGAACCGCGACGACATTCGCATTGACGAGGACGGTGTTTTGGAGGAGATCGACCCTAACGAGCCGCGATACTGTATCTGCGGAGATGTGAGTTTCGGGACCATGATTTGTTGTGAGAACCCGGATGTAAGCTTTTCTCTTTTCCCCATACCTTTCCATTTCTATCCAAATCTAACAACAAACCAGTGCGACCGCGAATGGTTCCACCTGGACTGCGTGGGGCTGTCGGAAGTGCCCAGTCGAACCGCGAAATGGTATTGCCCAGATTGTCGAGTGAAGTTCAACAAGGGAGTGGATGGGATAGTGAAGAACAACCCTCGGCGGTGATGGATCGTCCTGATTTTGATCCACTACATTTTCTTTTTCTTTCCTTTTTCTTTTCGACCTCCGCCCCCCCCCAGTCCGCCCATCTCTGGAAAAGGCTTTACATCCCTTAAAATAGTGGCGGCGACCTGCTACGAGACCACGATCTGCCAAATTTTCGTTCCCTTCTTCCCGTCCCGTTCGAAGACTTATGTTTATCATCTCGGTTTCTTTCTTTGGGTGTGGTTGTTTTAATTCCGAAGGTTCAGTTGTTCGTCCTTCTGATTCGCAGCGTGGCGAAAGTGATTGATTTGGGTGGGAGTTTGAGGGAGTTTTGATTCTCTTCGTTTCAAACAAAATTGGTGATACCATGACAGATCGATCTTTATGTCGTTCGGTAGTCCAGAATTCTCTTTCTCTCTGTCTTCATTTCATTCCCCCATCTTTTCTATGTGTCCTTTTTTTTCTTCTACGAGAGAGAGAGAGATAGGGATATTTACCACAGAACTATTTCCCCTTTCGTTCTTACACGCTACAAAGCTTTGCATGCTTATGAATCTCTAGGTGCTTGAGTAAGATGTTTACATATGTTAACAAAAACACGCGCACTATATACACTGGTCTGCATTCATCATCGTCATCGTCAGAGGAAAAATGGGTTTATAAGTTTTACTTCAACTCCCACTGGCCGTCGGCACTGACGATCTCGACCGACCGCTTCTCATCCAAGGAGACGCGACCGGCGTGCAGGATCGCCGTCGTGGCGATGGTGTTCTGCAGTGTGGGCAGGGGTCTGGCGTCCAATTGGTCTAGAGTTACGCGACCCTCGTTGAGGGCGGTGACAGCATCGATGAACTTCTCGAAGCTGATGTATCCGTAGCCGGTCTGGCCGCCGAAGTTGCCCTCTTCGTCCGGGGCGTACTTCATGTAGAAGCTGGGTTTTGATTTTCGTTAGGTCATAAATCCTTGGGAAAAAGAAGAGGAGGCAAACTTACGGGTTCACCCAGATCAATCCCTGCTCATCTTCGGTGACGTCGTAGCCACGCTTGGCTTGGTTCACGCGGACTTCACCCTTGGAGCCCATGTCTGATAAACCATGTTAGCAAGCTCTCTCTCTCTCTCTCCCACCACTTGAGTATTACCGAAGGAAGGGAGCACATACAGTGGAAGTACTGGTTCGAGTGGACGCCGGCCTTCTGCGGCGCCGTCCAGCTGGCGGTATACACGCCGGTGGCCAAGCGGCCGCTGCCGTCCTTCTTGCGCCACTCGACCAGCAGGGTGATGGTGTCCTCGGTCTGGTTGACGCAGCCCAGCTCGGTGGCAGTGCCGGTGGCGGCGCTGGCGGTGACCTTGACGGGCTGGTAGTCCGGGACCATGCTCTCGTTGATGTCGATGTGGTGGGAGTTGAGGTAGTAGGAGATGTCGGAGTCCTTGCCGGCCCAGGCCTTGAAGGTCTCCAGCTGCGACTTGGGCTGGCTCATGTAGCTGTAGAAGTAGTTGAAGTCGCCCAGGCGCGCCGCCTTGGCCCGCGCGTCGCTGTACGCCGGGTCGAACCGCTTGTGGTGTTCGATGAACACCAGCACCCCGTGCTTGCGCGACTCCGCCAGCAGGTCCAGGTGGTCGCGCAGCAGCTGCGTCGCCGGCTTCGTGATCAGCACGTGGATCCGCCGCTGGATCGCGTACAGCGCGATTGGGTAGTGCGTCGGGTCCGGCGTGAAGATCGTGATCGCCGACCCCGCTGGCAGCGCGTCGATGGCCGCCTTGTACGCTTCTGGGTCCGTCGTGTGGTCCGCCGGGAACGAGGTGAAGCTGGTGTCCAGGTTGTTGTAGACTTGCGAGATGTTGCGGTGGAGGTGGTCGCCTTTTTTGGGGGGTTGCGCGGTTTAGTAGATTGTTTTTTTTTTTTTTTTTTTTTTTTTTTCCCTTTCCCATAATAGAGTTGTATACTATAGACGGGGAAACGTATGATTCGATTCTACTTTTTTTTTTTTTTTTTTTTTTTTTTTACAATTGGGGTTTGTTTGGGAGTGTGGAAGAGAGAGGGCAACGTACGGATGCCTGGGAACTTGGAGCCGGATACTCCAACCATGCTCAAATCGCCCACTTTGCCCCGACGACGCAGGTCGAACAGCGTCAGACCCACGACACCGACTTTCTTGTCAGAGGTCGAGGCAGCACCACCGACGTAGCCGGTGGTGTACTCGCCCGTTCCTACCTGGTATGCAGTGTTAGGACTCCTGGTGGGGATTTGGTAGGAGGGAGGACGGGGAAGCCCTTACCATCAACACAGCGGGAGGAGCCATTTTTGTGTAATGTAAAAGGGGGGGAGGAACTGGAGGAAGAGGTGAGGATTGTGGCCGTGAAAAATGAGCAGAAGAAAAGAAACCAGAATTCAGTAGAAGAGATGGGTGTCAGGAGGATTTATCCACTGGACTGGAGACCTGCGGGGTTCAATAGCCGACGTGGAGGAAAGAAGGAGGGAGGGAGGGATTTCTGGTACGGACAATTGCATCAATCAATGATGTTCTGGGCGGAAGAAAGAAGATACTCGTGATGGCTGAGGTAACTTTGAGTGTTCTAGACAGACCATAACTTGTAAGACTCGCTGCGCAGGTAATACGTCTGTCAATGACATCGAGGTTGAGTGTATGCAGCCTGCATCGGCGTTTGAAGCGAGTCTGCTCAAAATCTACCCAAAAGAGGCAAGTCTACTGCCGGCGCTTGTTGATTGGTGGAGAAATGGAGTCCGCGCCGGCCGTGGGGTTGACGGATTACGGGCCGGTTACCATTTCAATACACGCGGGGTAAACATGAGGGGTTATAAGAATCTCCCTCAAGGCTGTCTGTCTGTCGGTCGGTCTACACTTTTTATCTTTGCACTCCTTCTTTTTCTATCTTCAATTCAAGCATCTTACCTCTCTCACAACTGTCAAGTAAGTTTGTTCGTAGCCAAGGCGAGTTTCTCTACCTAACATTGAAGCGCAGAATGTCCCGCACTCCCCTTCGCCCCGGAGTTTACGCTCCCACTATGACCTTCTTCAACCCAGACACCGAAGACCTCGATGTTCCCACCATCCGTCGTCACGCCGTTCGCCTCGCCAAGGCCGGTCTCGTTGGTCTCGTCTGCATGGGCTCCAACGGTGAAGCCGTGCACTTGACCCTGGCCGAGAAGAAGACCGTCATTAGCGAGACCCGCTCGGCCCTGGTCGAGGCTGGATTCTCCAACGTCCCCGTTATCGCGGGTGCCAGCGAGCAGAGCATCCGGGGTACCATTGCCCTGTGCAAGGAGTCCGCGGACGCTGGAGCCGAATACGCCCTCATTGTTCCCCCCAGCTACTACCGCTACGCCGTGGGCAATGACCAGACCATTTACGAATACTTCACCGCCGTGGCCGACGAGTCGCCCATCCCGCTCATTCTATACAACTACCCCGGTGCCGTGGCCGGTATCGACATGGACTCCGACCTGATCATCCGCATCTCCCAGCACCCCAACATCATCGGCACCAAGTTCACTTGCGCCAACACCGGCAAGCTTACCCGCGTCGCCTCGGCCCTGCACGCCATCACCCCTCCCTCTCCCTTGAACCCGGCCGCCCGGAAGTTCCCCAACACCAAGACCGAAGCCAACCACCCCTACGTCGCCTTCGGCGGTATCGCCGATTTTGCGCTGCAGACCCTCGCCTCCGGTGGCTCCGCCATCCTGGCCGGTGGGGCCAATGTCATCCCTAAGCTGTGCGTGCAGGTCTTCACCCTCTGGAGCGAGGGCCGCTTCACGGAAGCTATTGAGGCACAGGCGCTCTTGAGCAAGGCCGACTGGGTGCTCACCAAGGCCGCTATCCCCGGCACCAAGAGCGCGATTCAGAGCTATTACGGCTATGGAGGCTTCCCCCGCAAGCCCTTGGCTCGTCTCAGTGATGAGCAGGTCCAGGCTGTAGCAGAGGGCATTAAGGATGCGATCGAGGTGGAAAAGACGCTGCCGGATGTTGCCTAGATTCTGTCTTCTTTCCCCTCCCCCTTCTCTAGACCTTTTGTATATATGATGAAAATGAAACTTTGATTCTCTCTTCCGACTTTCCAATTCCTAGCGCTTCGCAATATTCCGCAGTTTCGCAGCAGAGGAGGGGTAAAGTGAAGTGGGATGAATTAACCCGAGCCGGACTTCTATCCGAATTCCGAGAGGGAGGGACCCCCACGCCAATGACTGTCGGGTGGGGGCTGATTGGTGGAGGGTTTTCTCCGAGTGGGAAAGTCGTTGAGGGTGCGAGTGGGAGACCATAATACTAGAAACTTATACCAGGGCGAATTAATGCTCCTGGCATCAGTCATGTTATTCCTGATTTATGTTGATGCTGACTTAAGCAGCTAAATCCCTCTGAGCATTCATAAGGCTCTTATCAGTATCAGCCCCCATCTCACGCCATGCGGCTGTCAATGGGATCTGCATTGACCACATATATCGATGCTGGAACTAATATATGACCCGCAGCAGGGAGGATATGTGGACACCTACACGAATCACGACTGTATATACATACACATGCATTTCGTGGTATGAAATGATTGAGCATGGGTATTGCTCTGGATGGCAATATGCTTCTTGTCTGCCAGAAGCATCCGACTGGAAGATTGTCTTCTCTGTGTTGAGATAATCCCAGCTTGAACGAACAAATCATGGTGCACTACGCACCAGTATGCATGATTCAGCAACCGATTTCACGTGAAGCGAGGCGAAGAGAACAAAAATATTATCGAAATTCAGCGCACACAGAGAGCCAAAACTGCTACGTAGTCAGATCACCCTGGGGGGTTACACCCAGCCAGGAACAGGACTCTGCAAGCCATAGCTTGGAATCTCATGCAGTCTCGCCAGTCGAGAAAGATGGCCATCTTAATGTTCAGGTTTAGAGATTGTACCCAACCCGTTATGTGTGGTCTTGGTCTTCGACTCACGCAGCAGTTCAACCCAATGCCATACTTAAAAGACTCGAATACTTATCTACAGTGATGCGGCCCGAGCGAATCAATCAATGCCTGATCATGTTTGCAGCGCGATATAGACTTCACAAGATGGCCGATTGTCGGGCCAAGTGGGCATTGTGAAAGAACCACTGAACTTTGGGGGGCAGTGGGCCACACCACAACCGAAGGCAAACCCCACGGGGGCGGGCGGGAAGCAGATGGAGTCGATCGGGGGGGCGGTCGGGAGACTAACCTTCGGATTTTCACTCCTGGCATTCGCATTCAACATACCAATCCGTCTCGAGGGAGTGGTCTGTTCTTGCCAATTCTCCAACAATCACCAAGACTGCACGTAAATAGGAGATTGGGGACATGATCCCACCTTCTTGCCAGATCATCCATTAGGCAGCCAGGTCGATGCCAAACCAACTCACTCCCCTCCTAAACCCTACCTTACTGAAACCGGGAAGTGAGTGATCACCGAACCATGAGTCCGAGTAGATACAGTCAGCCTTAACCAGGGGGAAAAGAGAGAAGAACAACCATGGGGAACCATGGGATGGAAGAACAGAAAAATTCATTGTTGACCCAGTGTGTCAGTCCGCCACTTCCAATCGGAGGAAGGCAAATCCGCAAAGTGGCGTCTCACCGCCCCCTCCCCCCAAGGGTACTGACACCCTTTTTCTGCCCATTTATTATTCATCGCGGGAGTATTGTCATTCATCCCGGTCATTCATCAATCATCTTTCCCCTGATCCTCATTTCTGCTTTTTTTTTTCTGCTTTTCTTTTTCTTATCTTTTTTTTATTTCATTCTCATCTCTTTCTTATTGTGTCGATTTTTCTGTGATTAATCTTTTTTATCACTTCTGTTCTGTCTCATATTTTTTCTGATTCTTTCGCCCTCCCTCTCTCTTTTTCTCTGTCTCAACCTCCTCCTATCTATCACCTTCTCTACCTCCTTCGTTTCCTCCCTCCCCTCCATTTTTTGGTTTTATTCTGGTGGTTGGTGCGGCTTATAGGGCGTCTTCATCAGTCTTGTCCCTCGTTCAATTATCGCCCTTGCCTACGCCTTTTTCAGCTTCGGGTCCCCTATTACCTCAGCTCGTCGGCGCTACCTGATACAGCACAGCCTCCCTTGCGTTTTATCCCCGATAGTGTGGTTATATCTGTCTGCTATACCTCACGGGTGATCGTTCCCGCGTGACTATCTTCTGCCCTTCGGAACGGTCGTCCTCCCAACAAACTTGCAACAGATTCGACACAATGGCACCAAGAGACAACAACGCGGGCAATTCCCGCCGTCGTCCCTCGCTTTCTTTCCGCACTCGACCTCGGACGTCCACCGTATCGACCGTTCAGACCATCGGACCAGATCACGAGCTCTGGCATGCCCTTCCAGTTGTCGACTCGGACGTTGATGGGTACGATGGGCAGGCGTTGGAAGAACATCACATAGGAGAGCAGGTTCTGGAAGACACAAACCAGTTTCCTGAACCCGCCCCAAGGCGCCGCGGAGCGAAGAGCTTCTCCAGTCTGCGGCATCCCGTGGATGGGTTGCGCGCTTTGGGGCGTCGTCTTTCTGTGACAATCCGCAACAAATCCACGAGACACTCGGCCAATCCAAGTGAGGATTACACCAGGAACTCCTGGTGCAACGAGGCCAACGTTGATCGCCGTTCATCGATCCCTGGTCCCGTCCCCGGTAATGGCCTGGCTCCTCCAGTCTTCCCGGATGACATTTATGCCGGGGCGTCTGCTCGTGCCGCGGCCGCCGCTCAAAATGAACTGGCCCGAGCGCTGCGCGATGGGGTCAAGTCTTCAGAGACGAGATTAACCAGGGACTCGGAAAGTGGCATTGGAATCGATTTGCGCGACCGCTCCGAGCTCTCTGACTCTGCTCTGGCGGTTGTGCGGATCGACCCCGTTGCTTATCTCCCTCCGGAGATTATGTCACAAGTGTTCTCCTACCTCGACCCGGAGTCACTGATGCAGACAGAGCTAGTCTCGCGCGCCTGGAGTGAGCAGGCTTTCTCCCGGCATATTTGGCGACATGTGTTCCGTCACGCCTACAGACACCATCGTCCCAGTGGGCTTTCGACTAAGAAGAGGCAAGCTGCTGGTTTGGGCAAGGCCCGTCCCGATCAAGACTGGAAGAGGATGTTCCTTGTGCGGCGCGCTTTGGAACATCGTTGGAAGGAGGGCAAAGCCGCTGCTATCTACTTGCATGGCCACACGGATAGCGTCTACTGTGCTCAATTCGATGAGTATGGCTCCTTTGGCCGTCAAAAAAATACCTGCCTGCTGACTCCATTCTAGGGACAAGATTATCACTGGCTCTCGTGATCGGACAATTCGCGTCTGGGATGCTCATTACCCATGGCCATGCCGCAAGATCATCGGCCCTCCGCCTGGTGATGTTCCCGGCATTGGCCCTGTCAACAATCAAACGCAGCAATCATCCGGCAAACCGCCCTTTCTTACTATCTGTCCTCCACCCACTAGCTCTGCAGGCATTGTAGCTCCAATGGAACAGAGTGCGGACTACCATAGCGCCTCAATTCTCTGTCTGCAGTTTGATGATGAGATCATGGTTACTGGCTCTTCCGATTTCACCTGCATTGTGTGGGATGTTCAGAATGACTACAAGCCGATCCGTCGTCTGGAGGGACATCGGGCTGGAGTCCTTGATGTTTGTTTTGACGATCGGTATATTGTCTCATGCTCCAAGGACACCACGATCTGTGTCTGGGATCGCCACACTGGTGCTCTGGTCAAGAAACTGCTTGGTCACCGGGGCCCTGTCAATGCCGTTCAGCTCCGTGGTGACCTGGTAGTTTCGGCCAGTGGGGATGGTATCGCCAAGTTGTGGAATATCACTTCCGGTCTCTGCGTGAAGGAGTTTCCCAGCAAGGATCGGGGCTTGGCCTGCGTTGAATTCAGTGATGATGCTCGAACCATCTTGACGGGTGGTAATGACCATGTGATCTACCAATTTGATGCAAACACTGGAGAAATGGTGAGCGAGCTCAAGGGTCACGAGGGGCTCGTCCGGTCTCTGCACCTGGACAACATGAACCAGCGCATCGTCAGTGGCAGCTATGACATGAGTGTCAAAGTTTTTGATGCGCAGTCTGGTGAGCTGTCAATTGACTTACCTGGCTGGACGACCAGCTGGATGCTCAGCGTCAAGTCCGATTACCGGCGCATTCTTGCGACCAGTCAAGACTCTCGTGCCGTTATAATGGATTTTGGATACGGTCTAGATGGCATAGAATTATTAGAAGAGTGAAGAACTGGATAGAGTCGCTAGATGTTCTCACTCCATGAATTTTGGTTGTCGGTTTTTTTTGGGGGAAAAGTTCATGCTGTTGGCTTGGCGGAGTATACTGGGTGTCTTGGAATCTTTACTTGGAATGCTTTCTTGATATATACATTAATAGCGATAGAGCGCGTCGACCATTTTATCAGTCACCTAATTCTACATTGACTTTGGACTTTCATTTACATATCTTAAGACTTGGCGTTGTTGCCTGATTTGTAAGGCTCAAGTAAGACAAGTAAGATCGGAGAGGCGGCGATTGAGATTGGACCCAATCGGGTTAGCGCCTCGCAGTCCCGTGGGTTTTGGCGACAGCAACAAAACACTCCCCCCCTCTGCTCTACTTGGCCTTTGTTTTTCTCCATAAATAAACAAAAGTCTGAACATATTTGGTGACAGGCCTTCGTTGTTGACTGCTCTTCAACTTCCTACGACCTCTCTTCCAATTCAAGCGATTCCTCTGCCGTTCTTCCACACCCTTCTCAACCCCAAGCCCCAACCTAAAATACCCCACCATGGGCGAATCGAGGTTCGTCGAGCATTCTGTTTGGATCTCACATGCGCGACGGCAGCATCAGCAGTCGAGATCGAAAGCGACCAAGGCTAACATAATTGGATGAACTGATAGACAAGAGCTGCTGGCATGGCTTAACAACCTGCTGCAGTTGAACATGACCAAGATTGAGCAGTGCGGTACCGGGTATGTTCTCCTCGCGAAGAAGCGGCTATTATGCTGGTGGAGGATCTCCGTCGAATGAGATCGGGATATACTGATGCCCTGGGTTTCCAGTGCCGCATTGTGTCAGATCTTTGACTCGATATTCTGTGAGTGCAGCACAATCTCGCACCCCCTTTTCTCCATAGCTGACTGATTTGTCTTCTATAGTGGACGTCCCCATGTCTCGTGTCAAGTTCAACGTCAACAGCGAATATGCCTACCTTCAGAATTTCAAGGTGCTTCAGAGTATGCGACTCAGTCATATCCGGCTCAATGTCGAGACAACCGTGTTAATATCTGCTCCGTTTCCTTCTAGACATCTTCGCAAAGCACCAAGTCGACAAGCCCATCCCGGTAGAGCAGCTCACCAAATGCCGCATGCAGGATAACCTGGAATTCCTCCAGTGGACCAAGAGATACTGGGACCAACACTATCCTGGCGGTGATTACGATGCGGTCGGTCGCCGCAAGGGCTCCGGTGCTCCTCCGTCCGGACCGGCTTCTCGCACTAGCTCCAGCGCTGCTGGCAGCGCCGCTCGCCGTGGCACCACCCCGACCGTGGGTGCTGCTCGCCCCCGCGCTGCCGTCGCGGCCGTCTCGGCCAACACCGCTGCTCTGCAGCAGGAGATCAACACCCAGAAGGAGGCCATCGCTGGGCTAGAGAAGGAGCGGGATTTCTACTTTGCTAAGCTCCGGGACATCGAGTTGCTGCTGCAGAGCGCGATTGAGCAAGACCCCGAGTTGGAGAAGGATGAGGACTCGTTGGTGAAGCACATCCAGGGTATCTTATATTCGACGGAGGTATGAACTGATTCTATCACCCACGCGTTCTATTAAGGGAGAGGGTAGGCTAACATAAGAGCAGGAGGGATTTGAGATCCCTGAGGCAGAGGCCGGCGCGGACGAGCTGGAGACATTCTGAGTCCGTCGTAACCTTGGTCCTCAATATTAATACCCCCTTCATAGCACACTGCGCAAGCGTTTAGTCGTCCCTTGACGACGTTTGATTTGTTCTAATTCTCATTTTCTTTCAATGTTCATTTTGCCACAAATTCTGCCTAGACCATTGGTCGAGATGATGCCTGATTTGGAGAGGGGTCGAGATGAGACGATACGTAAGAGGAGAAAAGGGGGTGAAACCGGCACAACGTGTGTTTTGCAATTCATTCCGAGATGGACAGGGGAGTGGGGGGAGGTTTCTAAAGAAAGCTTTGTATAGTCGAGTCGGGATGAGAGAAAAGGCCAGGCAGCCAGCCAACCCTTCGGAACTTCTTCAATTCTCATGCATGTCTTGCTACTTATTGTATCTGGTAAAGGAATGGATCTCGACGGCAGTTGTTTCTAGTCCATTCTCGTGTCCATACCATCTACGTCTGATAGTTTGCTTACTGATATCAAGGTAACTCTCTCGAAATCGACCAAGTGATCTAAGTATAGTTGTCCGATCATCACCCAGGGGCCTACGTAAGATTTTCCCCCCCACTCTTCGTCAACTCGGGGGGGGAGAGACCTCTCGCCATCTTCCAGAAACTCCTGCATGGTAGATCATATATACCGAGTCCTTTCGATCCTCGGCATCTCAGCGAGATCCCCCTTCCCTTCCCCTCATTCCCAAGCCCATGCCATTGATCAGACACCCAATTAACATTCCCACAAAAGAGGCTCCGGACTGCACGAGTTTGACACATTCCTCACACCAACCTAACCCCTTCCATCATTACCATGATCAACCAACCAAGGCCACAAGATAGGTGAGCAAGGCAAACAGACAGGAAGGTAAATCTCTGAACATCAAAAGATTGTGATATCGTTTGACAGGAGAAGGATCCATGGGACCTTTGTATAGACTACGTAGACCAGAACACATACCGGTAGGCAGTAGATACCTGCACCTAGTCATCTCGCAGTGCAGTGCTAGGATATAAATAGTCTCGCTCTGGGAGTGGAGATTTGAGACACGGGAATCGGATTAGAATTTACGAGCGGAGGCATACGAAGGCAGGATTACGTAGGTAGGTATGTTGATGGGGTCTCCGCTTTGGTCTAGATCTCTGTTGATTTTTTTGTTCGCTTCGGTTTTTGCTGTTGTGTTATATGGTAGTAGTAGTGGTGGTGGTGATAGTGATAATGGTGGGTTGGTGGTTTTTGACGGGTATGGTTGGGGGAGTTCTGGAGGATGAGAGGTTGTGATTGTCCGGCTTTCTGGAAGTTGTGGAAGCTGTGCGATAGATATTGATCCGGATACTATTGATATATCTCTATTGGTGATTGTGAGAAATCTGGCGGGATCAACTGAAGGTCAGGACAATGCTGTTTTCTATAGTCCTGGACTTCGATTGACCATGGATGTTCTATTCAAAGCTCCGACGAATAATGAACGAGCCGAGGACTAAGGAGCTTGGGGAGGCGGTGGCAGAAAACACAAGCTGTTGCTGTTGTTGCCGTGCCATCCACCTTTCGTGTCAACAACCATCCTATGACCAATTCACATTGTCTAACTCATGATAAGTCTGTCAGAGAAGAAGGAAAGTCTGCCGGAATCTGGCTTCGGCCATGTTCAGAATATACCGTCTTTGAATTGCGGGTCAATGCTTCGTTTCAGCATCGTCCTGTGGTTCTGGGGTTTGCAACGGACCAGGTTTCTGCAATATGAGAACAAGTACTTATGTACTTCGGATTGCTGAGTATATGTGTCTCCCGAAATTTTGTGCGAGTCAACCATCAACCATCGAGTCACTCACCAATGGGTGCTTCCAAGCTCGACATATGGATGTCGGCTAGTAAGTGAGTGAATGGGTATGCTCAAACAGGGGCTGCCGAGGCTAGAACTGACTGGGTAAGTTTGTGTCGATCTGGGGTCCCACAATTGGGGGGTGAAATCGCCAGATTGGAATGTTTGAATATGAATGAGTTGCTTGTTTTTCTTGCCTATCAGACTGGACCATCTAAGAATGAAGACTGTAGGGGATGGTATAATCAGCATATAAGTTGAAGGCTCAATAGGAGAGTTGAATGGGCGTTGACTTACTACGTATGTATACAAGTTTTCCTGTCATTGAAGTATGCATCTTATCGATCCTGATTGGAGGATATTTCTTACCCTTCGATCGGTTGCCAGTGCTTGTTCATGTCCGTGATGGCGGAAAGCCAGACCAGCTACTTGAGACCTTTCTCGAGATTCTTTATGTGCTTGTACGCATCCTGCAAAACCGGAATATCTTAAGCTCGGTACCTGCATCGGTCGGTTGCATGTGTATCCTATCAGCCTTGGTGAAACGATGTCAACCTCAAGTAGATTCTCCAAGCACCAATCGATCAATGCTCGCTCGAGTCCTTTTTAGCTACTCTCCCGCCCGAGTGAAACATGTCATCTGAAACATTCTCCTCTTTCGAAGGATCTCATCTACATCGACGGCACCCGAATCGTGCTATCTGCTATGCAGGTAGGATGGAGTTTGCCGATAACCAGGGCACGGGGGGAACAGATGATCTTAGACACCCGAGGGAAGGGGGTTGGGGACGAGGCCAAGGAGACGGGATTGTAATTTTCACTAGCTACAGTGGATTACTCAATCTGTGGGAACGAGTTAAGAGAAGTCACGATGCTCAGGCTTGCTCAGGCTTGAATTGTCGTGGGTAGGACAATATATTGCGAAAAGATGCTTATTCGGAGTTCGTATCGCGTGGGCGAGTCTGGCTCCGGCCTGGAGATTTCGAGGTGCACTGCATAAGGCCCGGCCGAGTCCTTGGGGCCATTCGGCTTGCTGCTTAGCAGACTGGACCGTTTGGCTAAGCTGGCAAACTAGTGACTCTTCCCCTCCGAGTACCTTGCCGCGTTGGTGGTGACATTTGGGGTGGGAAGGGCTCCCCTTACGTAGCTCCTCCGAATGGCTCGGAAAAGCTCAGATGAATGACTCCATTGTCAAAGCACCCCGAGTCCTTTCTTCCACCGGAAGAACGAAGAGAAAATTCTGCGTGCTTAGCTTCTTCTTATCAACCCGGTTGACGATGGTTGCCCTGCTGTATCCCGAACCATCTCTTTCCTAGTACGTACCTCTCCCTGCTCGACTTTGGGCTAGTGTATGTGCGGCACCCGCAATAGACGGGAATCGGCATGCACGATTGGGTAACTCTGGCAGCAAGAGAGGGTCTCTCGCGTCGTGAGTAGAATGGGATGGCATCATCAGTGTGACGGGGGGGGACGGTGGTCGGCCGTGCGATTTGATGGATGGAAGTTCTCTTCCATTATCATTTCATTTCATTTCCTAACGGTCTAATGAAACTTAGCGCCCGGCGTTTTATTAACCTCAGCCTTGGCATCCCCTTTTTGGTCAAGCATCGAAGTTGCGTTGCCGGCACGGCAGAACATACAGGAACTCGGGAGTCAATCCTCTCTCTCTCAATCTTACGTACATCATAACACAGATGCAAGCTACCAGGAAAAAGCAAACATGTTTATTGACACCCGTTGAGGAACACTTCGAAAGAACCTCAAACAGAGAAAGAGAAGAAAAACAATCAAAACCCAAAAGTGGCAAAAGATGATGGGCAGGCTGCGGCTACAACCTTGTCTGCATGCGGATCATTGAGGGGGGCGGATCATGGATCTTGATTCACCATACGCCGTACATTACATTATTGCTCTCCTAACCTGGATCTCTTCTCCGACTGGACTGGAATCCATCGACTCAGGCAAAAATATTTGCGCCTTCTGGCAGATTACCTTTCCCTCGTTCCCACGTAATTGTCCAATCTGCGAGTCTCCATGCAGGCTGTTGATTGGCAAGATGGCAAATTAGTGGTCTCAATGCCCCATAGTCGTACTGGCTTGGTTTCGGTACGGCACCCACTCCGACTAACGTCGACGCTGCTGCAGGTCTAAGACCTATTCTTAGGCCTGGCCTGATCGAAATGCGAGTGAGTGAAGTGAGTGAAGTGAGTGAGACTTGACTTGGGCTTGCCTGCCCACGCGGGTGGTTTCCATGGGTCCTGCGGAGGAGGTCATGTCGAGACTCTGACTCTCTGTCTCTGTTGTCTCTTTCTCTGTCTTGTTCTGGTCTTGTTCTGGTCTTGTTTTGCCCGTCCTGGTTCCTAACTAACTCTCTTCTCTCTTTCCTCGCCTCATACAGCTTTGCCTACTATTCTTCTTCCCCTCCTCTTTCTTCCTTTCATCTTCCCACTTACCCTCCACCCCCTCCTCCCTCCCCTCCCCTATCAATCCTCCCAAAGCTCGACTACCTCCTATTTTCTTAATCTATTTCTTTTCTCCCGATCTCTCTTCTTAGCATCCACCGTATTGACCTATCTAATCCTGATCTTAACTTGCCTCCCGATCTGAGGCGTTGAGTCCATTCATTTGTCCTTTTCTTGTTCGTCAACGGAACCACTGCAGCCGGGACTGGCTGGGCTATCCCAACCTGTGCAGTACAGTAAGCCCCCGCGCAGTGAGCAGTGCCAACAACGAAAGAGGCCAGTGCGATTCTATTGTAGGCCAAAGGAAGTATCGTCTCCGCCAATTCCGCCGACGAACTGAGACCGACACGATCTCGAACCCGGGGCGAACAAGCGAATATCCGACGAGAATCCGTGGTGGCAGACTAGGTCCGGAACCTTGGGTTTAGCGTGGATCCTCTCTGCCCGGTGGGAGCCTCAAAGCAATTTACTCCCATTCAGCTTCGGTGTTCTTCGTCGTCTTCTTCTTCTTCTTCGACCCTCATTAGAGCCGCCCCGCGGTCAATCTCAAAACTCTTCCCGCAAGCATTGCTCTGCTGCTCGGCCAGTATGGATCTGACTGGAAAGCGCAATCAATAAGCCACTCAACAATCAGGTCGAACTCGGAACAACATTGGATCCACCACACGATTGTATCTTTCCGCTGTTTCTTCTTTTCTTCTTGTTTGCAGGTAGGCCACTCAACCCATCTGCTGGATCTCACTCTCTCCTTCAATTATCTCGGCATTTAATGGAGCTGCTTTGGTCAGACATACTGACATCAGGGGCAGCCTGTCGCACTAGGTCTGCGTCTATGCCTTTCGGATTCTCTTCTCTTCATCTTGTCCTATTCCACCGGTTTTTGTCGGCTGCTTGTCCCGGCTGACGTCCACTCATTGCTATTCACAAATCATCGCTGTCCGGAACTTTCACCAGCAGCATTTCAGATCGTTTTTCGACAGTCGCTCTCTTAGCATTCGATATCGCAGTCGCCTTTCTGGTGTCTTTCATTATTCATCGACTGAATTTCGTCATTGGTTTTCCATCTCCACGCTCTTTCGACTTCCATAGCAACCGACTTTCGATTGGCCTTCGCCATCACACTCCTTTTCACTGAGCAGTCGCGTGTTTCGCAGGCAGACAACCTTATTTCATATCCTTACTTTCTCGTTTCAGTCGATATAGTGGGCAGAGTGGGCAGTTGTGGTAGAGGATTTCAGCAAGGCTGTATTTGAGGTTCACTGCGCAGTATATCATTTAGGTGAGAAATCGGCGGGTCGACGCGCAATAGGGGCTTAGGCAGAATGGCCCATCATGGAACTGGGCATACGCGATTTAACAGATCGATGAGGAAACGATACCAGTCAGACGAAGGTGGGATGGGAGTGGCAGGCCGGGAGCCAGACGCCAAAGATTTGCCGACCACGATGTTGCAGGAAAATGAGGTGTCCGGGGTGGGGGACGAGCTCGCGATCGGTCAGGAGGGTCAGACTCAGCAGTCACAAAACAGCGGGCAATCACAACATATGAAACGCCAGGAATCAAACACATCTTCAGACGATAAGACGACAGTTGTTGCGACAGTGTCCAACGTGGTGGATATTGGCTCACAGACGACGGGGCTGAGCACAACAGAAACCCCCTCCGCCACATCTGACGAGTCCACTCAAGCAACGACATCTGGCTTGTCGGCGGAGTCAGGTTCGGTCACGGCACCAACTTCAGCAACCGAATCCGCCGACGGGCAATCGACCGCGTCTCCAGCGTATTCTTCTCCCACCGCAGATACTCCTACAGTGACCACGGCCACCGAGCCGTCCACCTCCGTTCCTCCGTCCAGTCTGAATCCGTCCAAAACATCAACTCCTCTCTTTGGCACTACCTCGACCCATCTTCCGGCGTCCTCCACCCCTATTCGACCGACAAGCACGGGCACCGACTCAAGCGCAACTTCGACCCAGACTTCCAGCACAGCTACCACGTCAAGTTCAAGTGTGTCCTATGTCGACAGCTATCAATCCGGCACAACGACTTCTCACGTTTCATTCGAAACGGCCACGACATCCCTTTCTTGGTCTGGTACGTCCTCCTACGCTGGAGCCTGGGGTACGGCCACGAGTGGCGCAGTGGGAGGAGCAGACGCCACTGCCACCGGGCAATCACCATCGGCAACGACCGCAGCCGCCGCTGCTGGCGGTCTCAGCACTCAAGCGAAAGGCAAGATAGCTGGCGGTGTGGTTGGCGGAGTAGCGGGTGCCATGGTGTTTGTTGTCTTGCTTTGGCTTCTGCTGCGCCGACGCAAGAGGGCTATTCTTCCTCAGACACGTGATGCTCTTCCTGCAGCGGACATGGCTGGTACAGCCACTACCGAAGGATCCATCACCCGCTCGGCGGAGATGACTTCGCGCCGATCCAGCAATGACCCGTTATTTACCGCCTCGTACTTTGCTCCGGCGTTCATGCAACGGTGGCGCCAATCGCACATGACCACTCGGACGACGGATTCGGTGTGCTCCGATAGTAGCGAACGTGGCTTTCAGAAGATTTCGGGCCGGAAAATCCCCTCAGTGTTACATTCGGGCGGTGATGGGTATGGTGGCGGTGTCGAGCAAACCTCACCCACGGCATCTGAGCCCAGCTCTACCTATGCCGCTCCAGGATCTCCTGTGATTCCGCGGTCGCCTCCCTCGCAGCCTCCGTTGACTACACCGTACGGCATGCCCCTCGACACGAGCTATACTCGAGAGGCGGATGAGCCAGTTCCGGTGGTCAAGTTCCGTCCATCTCCTGCTCGGACTGTGACGGGGTCTAGTGGTGGTCTGAACAGCGAACCTTCAGCGCCGCGTATGATTCCGTCCGTGCATGTGCAGGTGTCTGGTTCTCTCTCGCCGACCATACCCAAACGGCCAGATGCGTTAGGTCGAAGCCATCCTAGTTTCGATGGCAGTCGAGGCAGCCGGTTCACGGAAAGTATCTGAACCACGCTCGCCTGGAAATGGTGGACGGCCTTTGTCGTCTTCCACCCGGTGCATATATGCTTTTGAGTTTCTGTACATAAATCTGGAGAAGTTGTACATGGGTTCTTGGGTGAGCGTTGGAAGCTCGGTGATGACTGGCCGGCAAGGAGAGAAGGGGGGAGGCTTTGTTTGGCCAGTTCGGAGACCGCGACGGAGGAATGCTGGGTCTTTTACGTCTTGATTCTGCACTACTTGCTAGCCTGTTTTCGTTTTCTCTTTATATGGATACCCCAATTCATTTCTTTCTTATTCTGCTTATTTGAAGGGGGGCTCAATGTACATTCGCCTATCAATTTCTAATTAATAGACAATCTGTCGGTATTGACTAATCAGAGTTACCTGTCAATGGCTGTCGATCGTTGCTCTGCTGGCAGATGACATAAGATGTCGTGGACCAACCAGCAGTCGGGTATTCTCAGCATTTGTCCTACTCATACTATAAAGAAATCATACACTTACTTCCCTGGACCCCCTCCTCTCCCCAACTCATACATACATACATACCATCCATAGGAGCCAAAATGAAAGAGCCTGCCCTCCCTCTCTTATCCTCCACTCTTCCTTCTGTCAATCCTTCTCCCCGCCCGCTCCGGTTCCTCGTCATCGGTGCGGGATCGCGGGGAAATGCGTATGGACGGGCGGTGACCAGCTCCACTGCGGGGATCATCCATGCTGTCGCCGAACCCCATCCCTTCAAACGTCGCCAATTCGGCCGCAACTACATCTGGGGCCCCAACAATCACTCCCAAGATGGGCAGGAATTTGCTGACTGGCGCGACTGGCTCGCCTGGGAGGTCCGTCGTCGCGAGCTGGCCTCGAATCCCATCCGTCAACCTTCATCTACTGGAGCCGCGGCAGCAGCAGGGGTAGACGGAGTCTTCATCTGCACCCTCGACGAGACGCACGCGGAGATCATCCACGCCATTGCGCCTCTGCGCCTGCACATCCTGTGCGAGAAGCCGCTCGCCCTCTCCCTGACCGACTGCCTCAGCGTCTACCGCGCCCTGCAACCCCACACCGCCACCACTATCTTCTCCATCGGCCACGTCCTGCGCTACAGCCCGCACAACATCCTCCTCCGGCGCCTGCTCCTCACCGACCGCGTCATCGGCGACATCGTCTCCCTGGAGCACTGCGAGCCCGTGGGCTGGTGGCACTTCGCCCACAGCTACGTCCGCGGCAACTGGCGGCGCGAGACGCCCGCGGGCGACGGCTCGCTGCTGACCAAATCCTGCCACGACATCGATTTCCTCATGTGGCTCCTCTCTGCACCCCCAGAAACAAGCACACACACAACGACACCGCAACCGCAACCGCAACCGCACCAACCCCGCACCATCACCTCCACCGGCTCACTCACCCAGTTCCAAGCGCACCGCAAACCCCCGGCCGCCGGCGCCGCAATCAACTGCCTGTCCTGCCCCGCCGAACGGGACTGCAAATACAGCGCCGTGAAGATCTACGACGAGCGGCACGTGGCGCGCGGCGACTTCGACTGGCCCGTCAATATCGTGTGTCCGGACATCGAGGACGTCGTCGCGCCGTACCTTGCTCTTTCGGAAGCTTCCCCCAACCCCAACCCCACAAACACAAACGTCACCTCTGAAGCAAGAGCAGCAGCGTCCGCGCACCTCCGCGCCCGTCTCCGCGCCTCCCGCCCTCTCTCCCGGAACGAACCAGGCGGTCCCCCCTCCTACGGCCACTGCGTCTACGAAGCCGACAACAACGTCTGCGATGACCAGGTCGTCACCATCAAATGGGATGATCAAGCAAATCAGCAGCAGACGGCGACGGCGACGGCGTCGGCCAAAACCGCCGTGTTTCATATGATCGCCCCGACGGAGCGGCAGTGCGAGCGGCGCGGCCGGGTCTACGGCACCGAGGGCGAGCTGGCGTACGACGGGCGGCGGATCGAGTTCTTCCGGTTCGCGACGGGGGCCACAACCGTCATCGACGTGCCGAAGCAGCCGCCGGAGGAGGAGAAGGCGCACGGTGGTGGGGACTATGGGCTGGCGCGCGGGTTCGTGGCGGCCGTGGACGCGGTGGTGAATGGTGGCTGGGCGGCCGAGAAGGCGCAGAGCCGGTTTGTCGAGTGTACGTTGGAGGAGGCGGTGCGGAGTCATGCGGTGGTGTTTGCGGCGGAGGAGGCCAGGCGGGAGGAGAAGGTGGTGAGGTGGGCTGAGTGGTGGGAGGGGAAGTTGCGGGGGTATCGGTGATTTTTATTCGGTGCTGCTGATGGCTAGGGGGGTAAAAGAGCAGGGCTATGGTTTATGGCTTCTGATTAGTTCCAACAAAATTAATGACTGCTTATGATGATCACGAGAAGATGCTACTGCGCTGATTTATTATTTCGCTATCGCTATATTAACAACGTGCTTGATTCCGTAGGCTCGTATAGACTGAGTAATTTGGATAGTAGGTATGTGCAGATGTTTCTAAGTGCGGACATCGGGCTCCTCGCGGCCGATGAACTCCTTGAACTTGAGAAGGTCCAGGGCCAAGGCGACGTTGTCCTTGAGGTACTCGTCCGTCTTCTGGGAGAACTTGCTGGCATCGTTCTCGTGCTTTTCAATGTACAGACGGATGGTAGCACCGCTGCTACCGGTGCCGGACAGACGGACGACGAAGCGGCTGCCATCGTCGAACTTGACATACAGACCCTGGTTCTTGGAGACGCTGCCGTCGAGATCGGTGTAGGAGAAGTTGCCGGCGTCGGCGACCTTGCGGCCGGAGACAGTCGAGCCAACGAAGGAGTCCTTGTTGTCGACATACTTGGCTAGAGTGGCGATGACCTGGTTGGCACCGTCGCTGTCGACGTTCTCGTAGTCGTAGCGGGTGAAGAAGGTGCGGCCGTAGGTCTGCCAGAACTCGTTCTGGATGGAGGCGATGCTGGGGGTCTCGTTGGGCTTCTGCTGGGCGACGCCGGCGATGACGTTCAACCACGCCACGATGGCCCACAGACCGTCCTTCTCGCGGATGTGGTTGCTGCCCGTACCGAAACTCTCCTCACCACAGATGGAGATCTTTTTGTTGTCGAACAGGTTGCAGAAGAACTTCCAGCCGGTGGGCACCTCGTAGCTCTGGAGACCCTGGGCCTTGGCCACGAGGTCGACGGCACCGGAGGTGGGCATGGAGCGGGCCAGGCCGTACACGCCTTGGTTCTTGAAGTAGGGGATCAGCTTGGCGTGGTGGGCGATGATGGCCAGACTGTCACCGGGGGAGACGAAGGTGTTGGCACCGTAGATCATGTTGCGGTCACCGTCACCGTCACTGGCGGCACCGAAGTGGATGCCCTCCTTGTCGACCCGCTCCACCAGCTCGTGAGCGTAGACCAGGTTGGGGTCGGGGTGACCACCACCGAAGTCGGTCTTGGGCTCGAAGTTCATGGCGCTGCTCTCGGGCAGACCCAGCTCGCGGACAAAGATGTCCACACCGTAGGGTCCGGTGACACCGTGCATGCCATCAAACAGAACCTTGAAGTCCTTGTGGGCCTGGAGGAAGTTGCGGATGAGGTCGAAGTCGAAGATCTCCTTCAGCATGGTGACGTAATCGGAGGTGGAGTGGACGACCTCGACCTCGAGCTCACCGTAGGTCTTGGTTCCGATGGAGGAGATGTCCACATCGGGAATGTCAACGTAGTTGTAGGATTTGAGGGTCTTGGAGGTCTCGTAGATTTTGTTGGTGACAGACTCGGGGGCGGGAGCTCCGTTGGTCAAGTTGTACTTGATACCGAAGTCATTCTCGGGACCTATACGGTAAACATTGTCAGTCGCTTGACCCAGGTTGTTTTTGTTCTCAGGAATGGGGTTGTAACTCACCACCAGGATTGTGACTGGCAGTCAGGAGGATACCACCGGTAGCTTGACGCTTGCGGATGAGGTTGCTAGCAGCGGGGGTACTGAGGATGCCGTTCTGGCCGACCAGCAGCTTCTTGACACCATAGGCAGCACTGATCTTAGCGATCTTCTGGATGACCTCAGTGTTGTAGTAACGACCATCACCACCAATGACGAGGAAAGCTCCCTCAGCACCCTCGGGGATGGAGAGGATGATGCTGGCGATGAAGGACTCGGAGTAGTGGGGCTGCTGGAAGACCTTGACCTTCTTACGAAGACCAGAGCTGTAGATTATTAGTTTCACTGTTTTCGGAACGGTGAAGGGGCAGCAGAAGGTATCACTTACGTTCCAGGCTTCTGGTCGGAGAATGGGGTGATGGAGATGGTCTGGACAGACATGATGACGTGGAGGAGGGGTAATCAAAATAGAGGGGTATATTATTTAGAAAAGGTCAGGCACGAGCTGTGGGATATATACAGCTCACTGACGAGTCAAATGGTGGGGGACAAAATAGAGAAAAGAGGAATGGAATAGATTGAGAAGAGGAGGAAAAGGAAGAGAAGGAAGAAGAGGGGGAACAGAGGGAGTAAATAAGTAAGTTGTAGCAAGAGAGAGGAGAAAGCAGGAGAAAGCAGGGTCAGGGCGAGGAGCAGCAGCGGGCGGCGGGATTGGGATTGGGATTGGGATTGGGATTGGGATTGATTGGGATTGGGTCTGGTTCTGGTTCTGGTCCCGCTCCGATGCAAGACAAAGTCTCTACTAGAACACCCCACTTCAATCCCGATTGCAATTGCGTTCGTTCATGGGTGGTATGGGTGGTGGTGGTGCATGAGGTGGGATTGGTTTCGTTGGTTGTTCGTTTGTTTATTTGTTGGTGGTGGTGGTGTTGACAGTTAGCAGTGTCATAATGTGGCGGTCATCAATCAGTTCTCATCATCTCATCATAATGCATCTTCCCATGCAATTGTCTCTAACAATTTCCCTTCCCCTCATTTTCTACCCCTCCCTCCGTACAAACGCCCGTACAAATTATAATTCTTGACCCCCTAAAAAAAAGCTTCCCTAAATAGAAGCTATTATTGTTGCCAGCTCAGCTCATTTCCCCGCCGGTCTAAAACCCACAGACCTCCCCCTTTTACTAGTAGCTTGTCTAGTACTAGTAGTCGAGCTACTAAAGCTACCAGAGGCTATCTAAAAAGCCGTTCCCGATAGAAGCGCATTTCTGCGATGCTTTCCAAAATGTCCTCCCGCGCCAGATGCACCTCCTTCTTCGCAGGCACGGCCGCCAATAACTCATCCGATCCCCACCGCCGCGCCATCTCCTTCAGTGCGCTCACGTCTACAATCCGATAATGTAACCACTCCAACACGCTCCGGTACGGTCCCTTGGCCAGAAACGCCTTGTCCGCATGCACGCTGTTGCCCGCCAACAACCCCGTCCGCGGCTGCGGCACATACCGATGAATGTACTCCAGCAACGCCGCCGCTGCCGACTCCGCACTGACGGTGGAAGCCTGCACCGCGGCCGTCAACCCGGTGCGACCGTGGGTTTCGATACACCACTCGTTCATGGACGCCAGTGTCGCGGGCGACTGATGGATGACGGTTTCGAATCCCTGCGGCTCGAGGAGCTTCAGGTCGGCATCGGTGATGTAGCAGCAGATCTGGAGGATTTGATCGGTTTCCGGGTCCAGGCCGGTCATCTAGAAGTGTCCGTCAAGAAGACAGGGTGCGTCAGCGGATGAGGCTCGTGGCTTCAAGACAACGCAGGACAGGCTGCAAAGAAGGTTCCCGAACCTCGCAGTCGATCCACACCAGGGGATCGGCGGAGCGTGTCAAGGGCATTGTATGGTTTCGAGCTCGAAGAGCTTGAACAGAGAATAGAGGCTTTTGGTAGAACTGCCTCCGAGTGTGTAGTGAAATTGAATGAAGTGTTCGTGGAAAGGCCATGGCAGACAGCACCAGCAGCAGCAAGTGGGCCGCCGGAGCTGCCTCAAATCATTATTTCCGGCGGCGGAAGGCGGCGAGGTCGGCCGACTTGCCGCAATCGACTTCTCCAAATGTCCCAGCATACATTCTTTGTCCGTGGCTAACTCACTGTATAGAGGGAAACATAGTCACGTCTTACTACAATGTCTGGCCTCAATTGACACGTAATGAAGCAAATAGTCATTTTTCTGTGCCAAATGCTTACGATCAGTGCACGCTTAGCGCAGCAGCACAGTATGCCTCCCGACCGAGTCCCGGTGGAGGCGTTGTTTGTCAACAGAATCTCCAGCATCGTGTGTGCTGTGTGACCTGTCTCTTCCGCATTTGACTCTTGTACGACTGTGTCCTCTCCTGTGTAGAATCGAGTGGGATATCTGAATTACCATCACATGAAGTATGGGCGCCAGAAGGGATTGTCTCGCCACTTCTCAAGGGTGAATTCGCAAATCGAGACTAATTGACATCTCTTGTCATTGGTTGTCGATCATATCTGTGAAGGTCCTCTTCGCAATGGCTGTTTGCACCTATCAAAAAGAGACCTTTCCCTGAAGATGCGTCCAGCCGTAACTCAACCCATTCCTCAGGCAGCCTTCTCATTGTAGAAGCCTTCGTACTGCTCATACCACTGCCGTACAATATCGGCACTCATGCCTGGTGCAATTACCTCGTCGCCACGCTCCAACTTCGCACTCACTTCCTCCATGAGCTCTTCCACTGATAGAACACTGGGGTTCTTGTCCTTCTTATTGTTATACGGGTCATCCCGTTCGCGGTGGAGGTCCGTTGCCACCGAAGGAGGAGCGATCTCCACCACTTGCACCTTCTCAAACCTGCCTTTAGACAGCTGCGTCCGAAGATTCATGCTCCAGAAATGGAGCCATGCCTTCGATCCGCCGTAGATGGGATTGATCACCGCAAAGGGCACGAACCCGAGCACGGAAGAGACATTGACGATGAGAGCACCGTCAGGCTTGTTCTTGAAATGCTTCAGCAACCCCAGCGTGAGATGCATGGGGCCACGGATGTTGATATCGATCTCTTGATCTGCTCGCGCGAGAATCTCTTGCGGCTCCTCTTCCACAAGCTTCAGCGGCCGCTGCACACCCGCATTGTTGACCAGGCAGTCCAGATCAGGGTGCTCGGATGGCGATGAACGAAGGAAATTGGTCGACGAGACCCGTATCTAGCACGTAGTAGGCTGCAGCGCCAATCTCGCGAGCGGAATCCTTGAGCTTGGACTCGGTGCGGCCGGCGATAATGATTTTTTTGCCCTGCGAGATGAGGTAGGAGGAGAGCGCTTTTCCGATGCCTCCGCCGCCGCCGGTAACAAGCGCGCAGCGGAAGTTTAAGCTTGGTGAAGCCATTGCACGAACTTTGTTGTTGAGATCTTGTGGAGATATATTGTAATTACAAGAAGCTGTTGCTTATCGACTGGATCAGGAGATGAGATTTTTGGAACCATCATGATCGAGAAGCTGAAATGAACATGATTGATCTAAAGAAGAGAAGTACTCGGAGGAGCGAATTGGAAAGTATGGCGTGATGACGTAGTTTCCATGGAACTCGGCATGCCGAAATTCCTCCATTGCCCTCAAGGAAGTCCCTGGCATTTCAGTGTTGCCGGGTCAGTGTGTGCGCAAAAGATTCCTGGTTTGCTCCTGATACGATGGTTTGTATTCCGAAGTGACTCGCGCTGTCCTCACTCAGCACAGTAACCGGCAATTTGACTTGACATGCAACAGCGAGCCTGGTATATCTTGAGATGTGGCACAACTACCTCGTTGCAAATGGGCGATTCAGATACACGGAAAACCTTCGACACGGTAAGACCTCGACACGGTAGGCCCTCGATACGGTAGGCCCTCGATACGGTAGGCCCTCGATACGGTAGGCACTCGACACGGTGCATGCCGCATCCTTCGCGATACAGAAGGACATTGCCGCGTCTCTGCCCATCCCCTCTACACATCTTTTGACCGTGAAGGTCCCAGCTACTGCCAGTGATCCTGAGTACTTGATTCGCAGATACCACCAACACAGAGAGACGAGTTTCTGAGCTCCAAAAAAGCGCGCCCCCTTACAAGTCGGATATCGAGGTACTGTGTATGTACTGGGTGGCAGCCTGCTCCAGGAAGAGATAAAAGAGCATAGCTATGAAGCTCGATCCTGGATGGACATTACAATCAAGATCTCTGAGTCGCAGTCCGAGTCAGCAGATACGAGTCAAAGGACTGACAACACTTCAGCCAACCTAGCCCTGCCTGCTTCCAGTGGAGCCGCCAATAGCACCGCCTCGAGAAGAGAAATGCCGTGTATATCCAGCCTGAATAAAGGTTTCTCTATGGTCTGGACTCAAATTGCTGGTTGGCATATTGCGGCCCTGGCTGCACGCCGGCTTGTTACTCGGTTACGAGCTAGGCATTGCGGACGGCTTGCCTCTACTGCATCTGTGACTGCTCAGAGCAGTTCGAATTGAGAGTCGAGGCGAAAATAGCCGGACTTCTGATCTCGCCGCAGAGCCTGCAGTTTATTTATTGGGTGCAAGAGCCATCGATTGAGCTACCGAAGCCCAAGGACGCGACAACCAAGTCGCTCGGTCTGGCATAGCAGACCAACACAGTCAGAATGACAGCTGGCCGAGTAAACCTCCCACGGCCGTTACCTGAAGTATGCAGTGAAAAATATGTCCATGCTTGTCATCTTCTGCATGAGATGGCTTGTTGTCGCGGGCTGATTAGTTGGGGCTTCAAGCTGACTTTCACCAAACACACCGTGCTTTTTCCTGACATCACTTGTTTGTGGCTATCAAGGTCTCCCTGTCATATGTACGTTCCTGCTACATAAGACTCAGCTGACCGTCTCCATGCACTTCGACGTCATCTTATTGGACTTTCCCTTTGCTGCTTTGGGGTTTTTCGATTGATATAAGCCCACACACCAATCCATCGCCTAAATCTAGGTTTGCGTCTCATGTAAGGGTCAAACTGTGTTCTATACCAGAAGAGAATATATAAGTCACTCGATGTCCCATGTATACTTCCTCACTTTCTCAGCATGTGTCAATGGGGAAATAGCAAGCTGCTAATTCAGCTTGTAACATACTGTACATAACTGGTGGTTATAACTAAGCATGGCGAGACAAGGCTTCTTTTCTCTCCTTCTTGCCATTCCTTTACTCGCCCACCGGGCACAGTCATCGAATCCGCAAACATGGGCTTCATTATCGAGTATCAGCGCCGCAACCTGGAACGCATTGAACGCGACTGTCGGCGGACGGCTCCACGAAGGCGCCCCGATGATGAGCCCGTGCTACCCATCCAGTCACGATCCAACCCAACCACTAGATGCAGCGCAGTGCACCGCTGAGCAAGAGCTTCTTCTCAACTCGACTCTGGCGTCGAACGAGCTTCCTTGGTATCACAACGTCAGACACCACAACTACACATTCACAGCCGATCATTTGTACTTTGCTAAGGTGTGGAAAATAGTCCGTCTGGTCCACCTGCCAAGCCACCGGCGCATCATGCCCCATCCCTTCGTCTCTACCACCCAATACTACTTGCGAGCAAGGCAGTGTTTCTCCGCGATACGTGGAGGTGCGAGGAATAGAGGACGTTCAAGCCACTCTCAACTTCACCAGATCTCACGGACTCCGACTCGTCATCAAGAACACCGGTCATGATTACAAGGGTCGGAGCTCAGCGCCGGATTCTCTTGCGCTGTGGTGTGTTTCTTCTTTACCTTTGCTGTCCCTAAGACAGGGGAATGTTGACTGGTTCTTAGGACGCATCCATATCAACCCCCCATCCGGCTCCTGAAAAACTTCACTCCAGAAGGCTGTTCGGCCCCGACGGGAAATGTGATCAAGTTCGGGGCGGGACAACAGTTCAAAGGCATCTATAACTTTGTGCATGCACGGGGATATCGGGTCGTGGGAGGAGGTTGCGATAGTGTCGGAGCCGCGGGGGGGTGGATTACTGGTGGTGGGCATGGGCTGATGGCTAATGAACTTGGTGAGTGAGACCCTCGCACGTTCATCTGCAGCTCTGTTGCGCGCATGGGAGTTGACAGTGAGCCAGGTCTCGGGGTCGACAACGTCCAAGAAATCAAAGTCGTACTAGCCAACGGGACATATGCCACTGCGACTCGATGTCAGAATCCTGATCTGTTCTTCGCGCTGCGCGGTGGCGGCGGCGGGACCTTCGGCGTCGTGATGGAGATGAGCACCCTCGTCCATCCGGATCGACCAATGGAAGTCTTGAATGTTTCCTTGACCGGGTTGGATCCCTACTCTTCCGCCGCAAGAGATTTCACAACCTTGATAATTGCGAATGCCGAGCGATGGGCTGCGGAGGGATGGGGTGGATCCCTGATTCCGGGTTCAACAGATTACGCTTTGATCATAGCCACAGCTCTGCTGGACCATTCGGCCGCGTTGGCGTCCGTGCAGCCGGTGCTGGACTTTGCTCGCCAGTTCAATACCTCGAGCGCAACCCTCTCCTCGGTTGCCGGGTTCCTCGACTTCATGGAACCCGTCACCTCGAACCCTCTCGTACAAATGTCGAAGGTGTCCACCGCCGTCTCGTCGCGGATCATCCCACGCACGTCGTTTCAGAACACAACGAGTCAGGCTCAACTGGCTGAGCTTATAACCCACCTGGTGGTCCTCAACGATACTCTACCAACACCCCCTGCACCTCAAGTAGCGGTTCTTCTCGTCGCTCCAGTGCTATATTCGCAGAATCTACCAAAGGAGGATGAACCATTCGGACCCGGGGCATCATCAGTCACGCCAGCATGGCGCAGTGGGCTTTGGCATCTCCTCCACATACGTGCCATTGACAGCAGCATGAGAGACCCAGAGCTCATACGACAAGTCTGGCAGAGTGTTTCCCACGCCATGGATCCTCTGCGGGAATTCACGCCCGATTCCGGTGCTTATCAAAACGAAGCCGACCCGTTTGAGCCGGACCCCATCGGTGCGTTCTGGGGCAAGGCAAACTATGAGCGTCTCCTTCGCATCAAAAAAGAGGTAGACCCAGAAAACATGTTCACGGTGCATCAGGGGGTGGGTTGGGACCGGAATGATGGGAGGTATCAGTGTTACCCAGATGTGTAGATACGTCCACGTGGTGAGTGTACTGGGTCGTTCGTTCCCCCGGGCCGCTTGACCGTATACTATACTATATACTCAAGTACCGTACCTAGCACAGTAACATAATAGAGCAAGTACAATACAGTCCAGTCCCTACCTCCCTTACAGTTCTGGGCTGTGCCTGCCTCAATGCTTTCGCTGAATATGGAATTCCTTCCCACCGACGAAGAACTTACCATCAAACCCACATACACTCACTCACTCACTCCTTCACTTAGATCATACACAACATATTATTCCTCAAAATGTCGAGATATCTAGCCCACTACGAAGCCCAGCTAAAGGCCCTCCTCTCCATATACGGACTTTCCCTCCCGAATATCTATTCATACCTGCAACACCATCACCATCATGATCAGCGACAGCAGCACCAGACCTCCCACCCAACCCGTCGGATCCTCACCCTCGAGCACGAAATCGACAGCGACGAGACGGCCTGGGACATCGCAGCAGCCAAAGGCCGCGCGTTCGTGCGCATGTTCTCCATGCCCACGACCGCGGAGCTCCAAGCCTACCTGGACACCCTCTCGCCGCACCGCCGCATCCCCGCCGCCAGCCCCTGGACCGAGCCCAGCGCTCTGGAGCTCTGGAACTGGACGCCCGAGTATGCCCAGGCGATGTACGACGAGGAGGGATTTGCTCAACTGTTCGCGCGGGACCTCCATGCCCGGATCGAGGATAACGTGTTTGTGTGTATGTCCAACACGGAACCCACCGTGATCGATGGGATGACCTATCCTGTAAGGGCTCTTATTCCTTCCTTCCCTGCGTGCGCGTCTCTCTCGCCCACCTATCTATCTATCTATCAGATAAAAAAAAAACAGAGGGTCGCCTTGATCGCTGACCTGCAGGGTTCTGCGTGTGATGGCGTTTCGCGATAGGCAACCGGAGCGTGGTACAGTAACCTCTACAACACGGCCAGCGGCATCATCATCGCCGATAATCTGATGAGTCCGATGGGGGTCTCGAGGATGGGAGCCGGAGACTTCCAGGAAGAAGGCGCAGGGCTCATAAACCCCCGACTGGCCCCGCCGTGGCTCATCCATCTCAAACAGTGGTCCGACGTCACTTTTCTGATGTGGACGCGCCTCGCCGAGCGGGCGGGCGTGCAAGTCGATTCCATCCGCTATATCTTCCACGCTGGGGTCAGCAACCCACCCACCAAACAGGTGGTCAGGCGGGCGCTGGCGAGGGCGGGCCATTCGCTGGGCGGCTGGGATCGCGTGGTGACGTTCCCCGTGGAGGATGATAGCATTGGTAGTAGTGAAGAAGGGACGGCGATTCTGGGGACCCCGAATGGTAGCGCCACCGGCTGGTTCATCGCACAGCATCGGGAGCAATTGGGACGGCGGAAGGTGGTGAGTGTCTCGGTCTTCGGGGAGCTGGGCACCCCTGTTTCTGCTGAATGTTTGAGTTTGTATTTTACTTTGGATGAGCCGCAGAGGTGATTCGGTCTTTGGGGGACAGTTTTGCTGGGTCTTGTTGGTAGTTAGCATAGAGTTAGAGGTGTTCGGTATAAGACATGGATAATGAATAGAGGTCTACTGAGATGTCAGCCTGTCACACTCGTATATCTAGTCTTTATTCCGACAGCTCGGCAATTATGGGTGATGATTCAGGATGGTCATGGATTGGAAATCTCGTATACAAATGAAGCATCCGAAGCCGAGGAGAGTGGATCGTGTTGCGATCAGTCAGCCAAGCAGGGGCGGAGGACAGGACAATGAAAAATTACAGTATTAATACACAGTATTAGCTACAGGTACTATACCCGGGGTTAAAATTAGGAGAGACTGGCTGATTTAGAAGGAACAGCGTGATGAAGTGCCTGACTCTAGAAGAAAGACTGCATTGCGTGAACCAACCGCTGATCCCGAGTTGTAGACGAAACAACAAATGAGTGTTCTCATGACAAGCACTACCCATAAGCACCAACTACACTAATCCATACCACTCCACAGGATTCAGCCGCCCCATCAGCAAGGCTATACATCCTCTAGAGTATATAATCCCTCGAGGTCCCCACCTCTGTTCCGTTCCCCAAGCACCCCCAATAACCAACAACTCATTCTCCCAATAGATATCACCAACATGGATGTTCACGTTATCTCCAAGCAGGACCCCGCCCACCATGAGGTGCCACTTTCCAGCTCCCCGAACCGACGGAGCCACTTGCGCCCTCCTCCGTCCGGGTGCGCGCCTCCCTCATCGGCCTGACCTCCAACAGCCTGACCTACGCCATGCTGGGCACCGCCTGGAAGTGGTGGGACACATACCCAGTTCCCCGGACCGCGCCGGCCCCCTACAACGACCCAGCCGCCTGGGGGATCGTGCCCGCCTGGGGCTACGCGACCGTTCTCGAGAGTACAATGCCCAACCTCCCGGCGGGCACATCCATCTTCGGATACTGGCCGGCGTCCGGCCACGCGGTGGACCTCCAATTGACCCCCAGACGACCGCACGACGGTCACTGGACGGAAGTGTCCCCGCACCGCCGGGGTCTGTTCTGGCTGTGCAACCAGTACACCTCCGTGGTCGACAAAATCCCAGTTAAAGACCCCGAGACCCTGGGCTGGGAATGCGCCGTGCGGACGATCTGGACCTGCGGGTATCTCCTCAGCGAGTACGTTTTCACCCCGGACCCCGCGGCTCATCCGCCACTGCATCCGTGTCCTGGCGTGTCTCCCGGGGGGAGCGAAGGAGGAGGGGAAGGAGGCGCAGTGGACCGCCGCCGAGGACGCGGACTCTCCCACGCCGTCGTCATCAGCCTGGGCGCTTCGACGAAGACGGGTCGCTCGTTCGCGCACAATCTCACATGCAGGCCGGCTGGGACGGGCCCCCTGGCCTTCCTTCAGGTCACCTCGGCGCCGGCCGCGATCGCGGACGCCACGACAAAGCTCGCGCCGCCGTTCCCCACCAAGACCGTGTCTTACTCGGATATCGCTGGGGCGGTGGAGGAGTGGCTGGCCAGCAAGCAGGCGTCGAAGATCGTCCTGGTCAATTTTGGCAGTCGAGATGGCGGGGTCGAGCAGGTGTTGGGTCTGATCCAGAATAATCCAGCCTTGAAGGCCGCCAGGCTTGTTTTCATCGGCGTGGGACTCCAGCAGAAGGTAAGGTGAACGAACCGTGGAAAATATTCCATTGACACTCCTCCAATGATCTTCGAGAGGGAAAGGGCTAATCTGAAGGTAATTAAAGGTTTACTCAGTTGAAGAGTTCGTTTGCCTGGGCACTGTCGCTGCCCAACTGGGAATTATCCAAGTAAACACTTCATCCATCATGGAAGCTGCGCTGGGCGTTGTAGATCCCAGGAAGTTCTATGACGAAGTGGACGAGCGCTGGAATCACTGGCTGGTTAATCGGGAATCCGCTGCCCCTGATCTGCGTCTGGTCTGGGGCAAAGGGGTTGTTGGTGGACAGGGCTTGGAGTGAGACTGGGAGTCGCTTTGCAAGAGTCAGTTGAAGCCCGAGGAGGCCTTGGTTTACCGTCTGTATGATGGAAAATAGGCTCGCCATGTCTGAAGCGTTTGAATATGCTCCGAGAGAAGAGACCTGAAATTGATCTATTCTTTAGCTTGGTAAAGAAGAGACGATCTGGAGCGGGAATGCGAACCAATCATCGGTCTGTAGACACTATACTCTGTGCTTGATTTGATGGCTGTCCAGATTATACGTTGTGCATACATGTAACTTAGCAGATTGTTGCAAGATGAATGATTCTGGTTAAGTTACCGGAAGGTTATTTGAGCCAGCGGAGCGGCCGGCCCCAGGCAACGAGGCCTCAGGGCCTCAGTCAGCAGCCCCGGGTCCTGACGCGGTTGTTCCACAAGCCCAAACGCAGCCGATTGTGTGATTTTGGCCGAGCAGCTTGTGGTGGCAAAAGATCCGGACTTTAATCAATCCATAAATGCAGCAGCGATGGTGCGATAGGATCTTAAGCTCATAGCTCAACATCATAATATAGATTTTCTTCCAGCTCGGCGTATATAGCTCTATAACATCCCGACCAACAGTCCCTCTTCTTGCCTCTATAGCAACCTTCATCAGGCTAAAAAGTTTCCAACTCTCCTACCCCATGCACCTGCTCTTCTACCGCAGGCCATGCCCATCGGGGCAGAGTCCACGTCAACCACCAATTCCCCGCCGCGTCCTTACCCATCATCGGCCCGATATTTGTCGGCATGGGGCCGCTCACAGATCCATTCACGGCGATATAGGAAGGTCGTCCCACCGGGTTCGTCCGTCGCCACTCCCCTTCTGCCGTCGACGCACCAATCGAGGTTACTGCCGCCGAGAAGTCGATCTCAAAGAGCCGGCCCTTGTGCCAATTCGACCACGCCATGAGAAGCGTGTTGTAGTCGCCGAAGAGCGTTGCATCAACCCCATTCGCTTCTGTGGCCGCTCGGATCAGCGCCGCCAGGGCTTCTACCTGCGGCTTGGTGCGCTGCTGAACGAGTGAGTGGCGGATCTGCGCGGCCAGCTGGCTGATCGGCATGGCGAGGATTTCACGGACCCGGAGGAAGGTGTAAGCCTGAAAAGTGGCGTTGCCAATGACGGCGACGTTTTTCGAGGGTTCAGCCAGCTCTGGAGGCAGGACAAGAGAGCGGAAGTCGAAGATGTTCATCAACGCGAGCAAGCGTTCTGGGGCCGGGCTCAGCGCTTTGATTGCCACTTTGGTCCACCACGCTAGGAGCACATCACTTTCGCTAAGGAACGGAGTTTGGGAACTAGCGGCATCTCCGATGGTGGTCTTGAGTTCCTCGATCGCCTGACTTCGCATTCCGTCGACAAAGGCTCCGGGAATGCAGAGAATGCGCTGCTCTTCCGGACCCTGCCAGAAATACTCCCAGAGAAAACACATGGTACCGATAATCAAGTGAATTCCTTTGAGTAAGAGGCCTTGATGTAAGAAGGGCTCCGTAGAGGTCGTGCTGCTCAAAGTTTGCATTGGAGTCGTGTCCAATCCGAGGAAAGTCGGCACTTGGTCCTCTTGGCCACGGAGTACAGCTGTCCAGGCTGCAAAGAAGCTGGACATACCCATTCCATCCATGAGGGTGTGCAGGAAGGTAATCGTCAAAATGGTCGTGTCGGTGAATGAGGCAACATGGATGGTGAGCTGGGGTCGGTCCGTGTAGATGAAATCATCTAGACATTGTGGCGCTTGCGCATGGCGATAAAGGGGGATGACCTCACCAGCTAGGCCGAGTACACGGGGTGTATCTGTTGCCGTGGGAATTTTTGACGCTAGAGGATGCTCAGCAGCTTCCATCGGATAATTTTCAGAGGTGAGGATGAAGCCTGGTCGCTGGGGGGTGTATTCCCGCGGGATATGATATTCAAGCTGCCCGGCATTCTGGGAGTCGTTCAGCTTAGATGATCTCTTCTTCAGAGGAAAGGTACGGTACATACATTTCGTCGTAATCGTGCACCTAGCTTGTGCCAATCTCCGCGCTGCAGTAGTCGCGTCAAGGATTGATCAAGTGTCTTTATATCGAGCACGTCATCGAAGCGGTAAGAGACATTTAGACAGATATTTTGTTGATATGGCCGGCCATCCCAGAAGCAGAGTGGGAAGATGGTGTCGGTCGGTACTGTTACAGGCTGAGGGGGCTTTGCCTTGCGAAAAAGATTGAGAATCCCCATTGTTGCGATTGAGGATTGGAGGGGTGAAAGGAGAGAGATCGAGCAGAAGTGTGCAACGTTCACTTTCAAAACCAGAAGGTTTAGTGATTAATCGGATTAGTGCTTACAGATTCGTACAGCCCGTGGCTGAGTGGAGCCGGCCCGGTTCCCCACAAGGCAAGGCTGGCTGCTGGACTCGCTACACTTTTGACAGTCGGTCGGCTCGGGCCTTGAAATTTCCATTCCATACATTGTAACGCTACGTCATGAATGTCAGCAGAGATGATCTGTATCGGGGAGCGATCAGGAAGACTGTGCATGGTTGTGATGGTTCTGTACCAAGCCTGGTGTTATGTTGTTTCTCCGCCCTGTGGTACAGTACGTTGAAGTTCTCTGAGTTATCAGCTGTAAGCAAAAGGCGAGCAGTAGGGTATGGGACTGCACTTTCGAGGTTGGCTAAGTGCTCTAAGACCAGGACTAATGTCAGTGAGGGAGGTGAGCACTGGACTGGGTTACCTGCGCACTCGCAGAGACATAGTGACACGAAGTGGGCGACGCCTCAAGACATTCAAGATGAAGTCTGAAGGAGATTGCTGCACTTCCAAGGTAGAGGTGTACATGAGCTCGCATTTATGAGTATTGAGAGTCGGAATGAACGCCGAGTGATACATGAGGGAGGAAGTAATGGGTCAGAAGAACAGTCCATCTCAAAATGTGCGTGCTGACATCAAAGATTTATGATCCTCTTGGAGTGAATCGTAGTGTTTGTGTATGTACGTCTCAACCAGGGTATACTCGTGCTAAATCTGCGAATTGCTGTGCCTCGCTGCGACTTCTTATCTCAAATGAGAGTTCCTGAGCCTTGAATGGGTAGGTAATCATGAGAGGCTCACAGTGGCTTCAAGCTGCTCCCCGAAGTCAGGACCCTGAAGCTTGCAGCAATAGATAGTTGTGTTTCTCGCCTCATTCTGACAACGAGAGGAAGATGTGACTCCGGCTACCAGCTAGTACTACAGGTACCCCTCGCACCTTCCCTGCATGCATGTTGTTCAGTCTAGGCCCGGCTAACTTACCCCTTGATCTAACCATATCTCGGTATCAAGATAGCTCTGCTCGAACAAGACAGCTTCAATAACATGTGCGAGTTATTCCCAACGTACATGCGCTAACACAATATCCATCTCATACAAACAGATAGGTCTTCCTTTTCTAGAGATAAACAAACAATATGCTGGCATCGTCTTACCTCTTTTTCCCAGAAAAAATGCACCATGCTAGAACCTGATCGAGCTAATCGTACCTTCCCGAAGCTCACTTGATACTTAGCACGAGGCACCTTGAAGCCGTCTTCCTAACTAGCTTAGCAGCCCCATGTTATCCCGGAGTGCATAGATCGTAGAGCCAGCCCTCCCCGCCGTCAGCGACTGCACACCATGACGCCGTGATGACATCCTACAGTCGCAGAAGCCAGCAAAAAAAAGATTGCCGCGACTGGGACTCGAACCCAGAATCTGCACTCCACACCGCTAGCATAAGGCTAGTACGGGGGCTCTGCAATGTTAATACCACTACACCACCGCGGCTGTTGTTGTACAGTAGCACTAGCAACTAAATCATAACCCAGCGGCCGTAAGATGTTGTGGGCTGTTCCTCGCTGGTATCTGGACATTCTGGCAATCAAACGAGTGCAATATAAAGCTTGATGCTGTAGCTATCTAACGAAATACATATGAGAAGATCTTACAGGTTGTTCTTGTGGAGGGAAGGCTTTATCACTCCTAGTATAGAGTGGAGAACGGGATGCAGGAGGATCTCCACTATAGCTGCCGGGGGACCCCGGGGCCCCACACAGTGGGGACTATGCGAGTTTTGGGCAGTCACTTCGAACATCGTTTCTCCGTGCTGTGAGAAACTCGAGAAAGCGTCGATATCGTTGTTTATAGCGACAGTGGCTTGATGGATGAAAAACAGCCAGCGAAAAGCCTCAAGGGCCATGGATTCGGCTGTTTTTGTTTTGCATATATTCCTGAGATATGATGATGAGTCATGGTCACATGGGCTTGTAGCTCAGTGGTAGAGCGCTCGCTTCGCATGCGAGAGGTCAGGGGTTCGATTCCCCCCAAGTCCATTCTTTTTGGGCCATACTTTTTTTTTCCAGAAACGATGTGGGACGAAAAATGCCGCCGTTTCTCGTGTAAAGTAAGAGATGCGATGCCATTTCATGTCATGTCTCGTTCGCAGATGCTATTATAGTATTCAATCTAAGACAGAAATGGAATTTGGTTGTATCCATTCTAGCCTACCTCTCACCCGCACTTGTCACCCATACACGGCCCTACTATACATAGCCCTATGCGTGCTTTAGCCGAGAGCGGTGCTTGAGGTTAGGTGTGGCCTAATGTACTTGCTACAAGGTGACAGGATAGAATCAGGAAGGCTTGTGGTACTCGTGCCCATTTGCAATACGAACATTCTCCCGGTAGGTGATAACTACACCTCACATGGCATGCTTTACCAACCATCTCTTCAAGCAACAAGGCCTGTCTCTTTTAGGCACTGTCCGTTTGGCAGCGACTACCATTAAATTTGAAAGTACCACTACTAACCTTTTTGAGTTACCAACTACTCTTAATTCGTCACATGACCACAAGTTACCTTACTGGGTAGCCTAATAGCTGGGCCTGTTGATCTCCCATCTATCCCTGAATACATGCAGATAGCGCGGGGCTCCGCTTGACAACCCACCATGTCAACCGCCCAGACCAAAGCCCTCACGACCGTCGAGATCCTCGAGAACATTCTTCTCCATGTGGATATCCAGTCCCTCCTGACATCCGCTCAGCGCGTCTGTCATGCATGGCACGACCTCATCTCCACGCCTTCCCTGCAAAAGCACCTCTTCTTGACCCCAGACTGGGAGCGGCCGCAAACACAGCGCAACCCGCTTTTAGTCCATGTTTTTCCGGGCTGGTTCAGCATTAGACATGGTGTCGATGCTGACTACCGGAAGAAGGTCGGGCGCGACGGCCTCAACCCCCGCTGGGATCTGACGCAACCCGACCAGAAGGCGTCCTTCATCCGGAAAGAAGCCAGCTGGCGGCGCATGCTCGTGCAACAGCCTCCAATCCGGGGGTTGATTTCTTTCACGAGAAGGAGGGCCCTAGGTGGGGATTCGATCGAGGGCTTGCCTTATATCGAGCATGATGATGAGGACGAGGACGAGCATGATGCTGAGGATGCTGCTGCTGAGGATGCTGAGGATGCTGATGACGATGAAGATGCTCCTGCTCCTGCTGCTCCTGCTGATGATGATGATGATCTTGATGACGATAATGATAGCGATGAAGATCTTTCCCCCTTCACAGTTGGACCACCGACGGAGCCTCTCCGAATGGGGAAGCTGGTGGACGAGGCCCCCAGCACCTCTTTACATGCTGATGTTCTGTGGGATACCAAGGACTATCGACTTCACCGTGATATGTTTCTTCGCAGCAGGAAGCGAGATATCCGGATGCTGCGCAGTGCGCTCAGGAGGAGTGGAATGATCGTGCTCTTGACTGAGATCGTGCAATGTGCCATGGGGAAGCCGCCTCCGCAGATCGCATGGAGGAAAAGCCAGAGGCGCTGGTGGGCCGGGATCGAAGAGCCTACGAGACGCGATGGGGGTCATCTAGCCAAGAGGCAACGTTGCTGTTGAAGGTGATTTCATTATCAGACGTCGCCAATTTCTGGAACAAACTCGATAGACTGCCAAGAGGCTCATCTCATGTGCACTGCCGGAACGGCAAGGACAAAGTGTGTTAGGAGACCATGCTGCCTGGACCCGTTGAGAGGGATCATAAGACAACTCCACCGTACCCTTTGCAGATGGTCCACCGTGCGGTGACCGAGTCGCAGCAAACAGTGGCTAATGTACGGTGTGAGGCTGGTGCACATGGAGGACTGGCATGGTTTCAACAAGATTAGATTTGTTGCTACTATTCGGTTATAATGAGGGCTGAGTTAGGGTGTCTATTATTTAGAAGTTTTCTCAGATTTTGCCATAGTCCGAACCCTACGAGCCCTGCTTATTGACAGGGAACCCAGTCATTCCAAATCTCCGCCTCCAGCAAAAAGGAGGTTTTCGGCGTGCAACTTGCGTAACTCATTCCGTCTATAACAATTACCTCCACTCAGCACGTACCTCATGCTCCATTCTAGCAATAGTTCCGCCCATCCCCAGCCCATTCGCCTTGAAGATACCTCAACTAGCAAATAGTGTACCACACATCTCGAAAAAGCGAAAGCAGCCGTCAACGGTCATGTTCTATCACGACCAACTGTATTCCTGTCCAACCCCTTCGATGCGGAATAAGCCAGGGCTACCCAAAAGAATGATAAGGATGATAAGCCATCCCTCAAATAGGTATAGGAAAATAAAGATTTCAAACATCTTCCTCCGTCTGATCGGTGTGATGTCGACCATCTAAGCACGTAAATATGAGAATGGACTCTGGAAGGTCGCGAGCTTATAGCTCTTCTTCCTCAGTAGCCATGGAATCATGCGGTGGATGGTTTACACCCGTACTAGCCGCCGTAGTCCCAGTGGGGTTTGGAGGATTATCGTTACTGATCTCGTGCGACAAACCTGACTCCATTCGTCGACGCATCACATCTTCATCCGCTTGTGATACGCTAGCTCGCTGTTTCTTTAGAGGGCTGCCGATGAATTGACCATCAACCGCGTTAGCCGCTGGCTTGGGAGCTTCAGCAGCGGCAGTTGACGGAGGTACAATCGGAGGTGTTGTGGAAAGATTAGAAGACGGAGCTGACTCTCCGGGCGCTCGAGGACTTCCAGTGTCCGTCGGAGGAGTGTTAGTGGCAAGCGACGCCGACGAGTGCTGCCGTTTGAGCTGAAATGACTGTTAGTTAGTCAAACAGAGATGAAGCACGAAGCAGGATTGACTCACCTTAATTTTACGAATGCTCTCCGCCAATTCGCCCTGCTGCCTGAGATCTTCCGGAGACAGATGGACATCATCGTCCTTGCCCTCTTCGGCGTCTGCTTTACCAAGGATGGAATTCTCGTCATCGTCATCACTATCCATGTCATCATCGCCAACAGTCTTGCTACCCTTCTTTCCTCTCTTATGGTTTTCTGTGCTCTCTCGGAATTTCAGGAAGCCAACGGTGCCGCCAGGCTTGAGCGGGCCAAGATTGGAAAAATCTGGTTGTATCGACCGACGTTTTACAGACCCAGGAGTTTCCTGCGCCTTGGCATCCTTGAGGATCCCCATCTTCTGAAGTTGCCCTAGTTCAAAGTCAGTTTCGACGGCTACTTGGCAAACCGGGGGATGACTTACGCTCTCCGCGGTACATGAACGTGAAGGTGGCGTAGGGTTTATCAGACGCATCAATGCTCGTCACAGTTTGCGTACTAATTGTCTTGGGGTCGAGTGTTTTCGGCTTAGCAAAGCTCGTGGTGTGGTCAACGTTGGCGTCCGATGCGCCGTTATTGTTGTCATTGCCGCCTGAGACATCGTCGTCGTCATCGTGCGCATCGAATTGAGGCGAGTACTCTCCCCGTTTGACCTCACCAGAAGCCAGAACACGAAACAGTGCCACCTTGATCTGCCCTGCAGACTCAGGGATCGGATCATCATCGGAATCAGAGAATGACATATCGTCATCAGAGACATCTTCCAGAGGGGATTTCGAATTATCTCCGTAGCGCATTATGTCTCTCTCCTTCCGTGACTTTGCATCCGTGTCCATACCGCCGCTTTCTTCACGTTTCAGGCGACGCTTTTCCATCTTCTGTCGTCGTCGCTCAATCTTGGCTGCCGCATCTTTGCCTTCCAGGTCTAGACCATTCAACCATCTCTCCAGTCCGACCTCACGGAACAGGAACTCCCGTTCGGCCAGACCGCCGCCCTCGGATTCCGGGACACTAACCCATCGAGAGTTGACCCAAGTCTCCTCGCCTCTCCGCAGGAGCGTAGCCACCTCCTCCTTCTGTCGGCCGTCGAAGTAGATGTATGCAGCGACCGTCTCGTTTGGCGAATTGGTCAACGGCTTGTAGGGAATCACCATACTAGAATATTGCCCCCGGTCTTCGGTCGGGCCGGGAAGTCCTCCAACAACTTTAGGCCTGGGTGCGGGGTTTTCGGGTGTCGGTTTCGGAGCAGAATAAGGGACATCTTGACCGGGGTTCAGGAGTGTGATGGAGATGGCGAAAGTCGACTGTTCTGGTCGGCCCGATCCGGAGTCAGGTAGCTTTGGAGGGGGTACCGGGATGTAGCAAGCTATGCGAGAGGCTCGAGATTGACGTTGGATCGAGTATTCGGAGATCGGGCCATCCGGAGTGTGTATACTCACGGCGAGACCCTTGAAGCAGGGCATGGCGGGACAAAAAAGATAGCAGTAAACACAGGAATTGAGAGAAAGTCGTCGAAGAATAAGGTCAAACCGGACTGGATGAAAGAGAAAAGGAGGGGGTTGGAGAAGGGAAAGTGGTGAGGGGTGAGGGCGCGCGTGTGATTGTGCGAAGGTGAGCTGGTCGTGTGTTGTGGAGGCGGTCAGGATCGAAGTAGTGAGTTCGGTGTGTGTGCCTGCTACCGCCAGCCCCCGGCGGGGATATAGAATGACCGAAACAGATAGATCGCGGAGATGGACGGCTGCCCCGAGGTTGTCGCTCAAGTCTAGCGCAAGCTCGAGGTGAGAGAGAGGCCGATCGCGTTCGAATTTCGTAGAGATTTATCGCTATGCGAAACGCAGGCATATAGTATTAGCCGTGCAGTATGATGACAGAGACGGAGGGAGAGGGAGAGGGGAGGGGAGGGGAGGGGAAGGTTGACGGGTGTTGACGCTGATCAAGAATAAGTGGGTGGGCTGGGGAGTGGGAGGAACCATCCGAACATACCAAATTTGGTTGATTCCTGGGGAAAGACTCCGGTTCAGTGTTGGCGAACTCGAATAAAGAGAGATATCCAGCAAGAAAACTTGGCCTTATTGACCAAAAGGCGAGTGTGGAGCAGGACAAAAAAAAGGAGAGAGGGGTTGGTTGGGTGATGGGAGGATGGAGAGAGAGAAGTGTGAGAGAGAGGCAAAGGCAAGGAAGAGAGGAGGGCCTTTGAGGGGAGGGAAGGAGGAGGGATGAATGTGGAGACTGGAGAGAGAGAGGTGAGGATCACCGCCGGCTGGAACTCCGCCTGCTTCCTTGGATCACTTCCGCCTCCCCCTTTGGCTCGTCTTCCCTGATGTCAACCTGATGTATGCTGTCTTCCACGTCAGAACAGTCGTGTTTATTTAATCACGATACTACACGAGCGATTCTCAATTTTCGGGACTATATCTGAAACTATACCTTGAGTGACCTTCCCGTTACTACTCTCTCTGCATTTTTACTCTAAAGGGCCAAAAGACCTGTTGGTGAGATCGATTCGACGGACAGTCTATGGTCTAGTCCGCTTCTTTCGCCATGTCCGTTCCAACAACTATCACGGAATCTGCGCGTTATCTCTAGAGCCCTCGTCGTCGCGCCTCCTCTCGAGCGATATTAGCCAGATCAGGAAAGTCTCGGTGGAGGTTGCTGAAAAGCACCTCGGCCTTTCGTCGCTTCTGTTCTTCCACCTGCTTCTGCATCTCGGCGACCTTTTCGAGGAGCTTCGCATGCGAGTCAACAAGCGATAGGTCCAATAACTCTGCTGCATACTGGCGTAGCGAGTCCAGCTTTCTCTCGAGAGCGGCGATGCTGATATCGCCTGTAAAAGAGTATGGATTGTCTTCTGGTGTGGTAGACGCTATAGAGGAATGGTGGGAAGGCAATGCGCGCGGAAGCTGTTGCGCTCGATCTGAGTCACGGTCTTCCACTAGGTCACTGATGCGAAGTTGTCCCTTTGGGGCTTGGATTCGCACAGAGGCTAGCTCCGCCTGCTCTGCCGGTTTGTCCCTGATTTGGGTCAAGGTCTTGGTCTGTTGAATTCCCCCCGACTCATAGGTCCGAATGTCGGGGGAAGCATGAGGCCCATCAATCTGCTGTCCTGGTCTAATGACATCCTCGTTGAAGTGAGTTTTCGGTCGCTTCCCACTCTGTGAAGCATTATATGGCTGTGGAGATGCGTTCTGGGCCGCTCTTTTGCCTCTCCTCTGGTCAAATACATTATCGACAAAACCGGTAATGCGCCCTCGTTGGTCGACTGGTTTCACCCGGGCTCGCACAGGCTTGTCCTTACTACGATACGGCTCGGCAAAGTGGCAACACCGACAATTACACACCTGCGAGCACTTCGGGCAGATCCAAGAATCTGCATCTCTGAGATACGGAATCAAATCAATATCGAAGTGCCTGTGGAGCCCACGAAAACAGAAGAAGGCATCACATCGTGAGCATGTCATTCCTTTCCAGACCGAATGACTATCACGGCATAGATGGCAAAGTCGCTCCTATTCCGATTGTCAACCAGTTATTACGCCTTGGTGAGGTCTGCAGGAGGCTAGTTTACCGTAGACTGCTTTCGTGCAGTGGCTGCTGCTGCGGCCAACGTTCCCAAAGACTTTCGACTGAAGAAAGCAACCATTAGCTAAGAACAAACTTGGTTGTGAATTGACTGGGACGGAGGCTAGGTGACTGTAAAAGGTTGCATAGAAAGAAGAGAAAGAGAAAGGCCGTAATGAAGGTAGGCAGTGTTTCTTTGGAATTTTGTGTTCAAGAACCAAAATATTCGAGGGTCCGTACTTTGTACGCGGGGGACTTGAAGACTGCTGTGCACCTAACTTGCTTCGCGCACTGCTGATGACATTGTTGCAGTAGTCCCTTGGAAGAAGCTCAGCCCAAATAAAATTGTTGAAGTGTTTACAGCTGCGTCCAGACACGAAGCACTTGAGACATAGGTCAAAATCTCCACACTGCTCGCAGTGCAAATGACGATTCCAGATCGTCAAGCCGCAAAAGTTGCATTCGACCACCGCACCTTGAGTGTCTATGAGCTTCAACTGTACACTTGGTTCATTCTCTATGTCTTCATCCTCGATCATCTGCTGGAAGAGACTTAGAAGAAGGGCATCGTCTTCTGGCCGGCAAGACCCGCTTTTAAGTGCATGTAGAAGAACCAGAGGTACCCGGCCGGTATCTGCATGACATAGCTGTTGATAAACGGGCTGAATATAGTCGAAGAAATAGGTGAGTGAAGAGCTGTGCATTATGTTCCACACCACTTTAGTAACCAGAGAATTGACATTCCAGACCTGGTGAGCAGTGGCAGGAGGAAAAACAACCAAGTCCCCAGGAAACTGATCAGCGACATAAATGGGAAAATTCGCACGACCTAGCTGGGTAACTGTGACGTTCGCCCAGTCCGTATGAGGTGATTTCCCGAGCTCTTGCATGAAAGCATCATACTGGGTTTGTGCATGTTTGTCCGTGCCAAAACATATGGACCCATGCCCGCTTCCTAACTGCGAGCTGAGAACTTCTGTGTATAAGGATGATTGAGGTTGTGTGTATTACCTTGGGATTCGATAAGGAGGTTCAGCGCAGCTGTCCCACTGAAGCATCGATGAAAGCCAGAGCTATCCGTAGCCTATGTGTTAACTGATCGAGCAGCGTGGCAAGGTCCTGACATCCAACTTACAACGAATTTTGAGTACCGACATATGCCATCAAAACCTCTGGAGCAATTTCTTTTGGTAGTACTCGGAACAGATCAAGAGTGCCCAAGTGCCTTAGAGGCGGCGGCAAAACAGAGTCCAATGCACGAATCCAATCTTTGGGGCATTGTAGATCCTTGGCGTAGAGGCTTCGAAGCGAGTCTGTGAGCTGATGGAGCTAGCCCTGGAGGATATAATAGGCCACATACAAATCTCGTCCAATGCTCGGGGGTGGGTGGTCTGCCTGGTACAAAATCTCCTGCAGTCGCAGCTTTATATCCCGCCCTGTAGAGCAGTTCCTAACCGGTATCGCTTGAGTACCGAGACCGTCCTGTAAGCTGCAGAACTTCCCGAGGAAATAGTTGCTCGACCGCCACATACCTCTCGAAGCTGACAAGGCGGCCAAGGTTCCATTATTCAGGATCGAGTTATCCCATCTGCTAGTTGTATTGAATCCACGAAGTACGAAGGGTTTTCCTTCCTGCAATTTGCGATTCAGCCACTCATGGGCCTGGTCGTCCGACAAGCTCTCGATCTCTTGGACTGTGTACTCGGAAAATGGGACAAACGGTTCTCCTGCTCTCAGGAGAGCCTGTGCGGACGTTATCTCCGTAATCGGTAGGTAAGACATATAGAGTACCTTATAGAAGAAGCATTGCAATGCGCGTATGCAAAGTAAAGCACTAGCGGTATTGGCTAGAGGTCCTTATCTGGTTCAAATCAGTTGTCTCGGAATCCAGCCTGGAGCATTTGACAGACCGCCACGTGATACTCCACTGCAGGGTGAATCTAACCGTTTGTGGAAGTGTCTCATTCAAGCCCGCGATCCTGGCAGTGTGTCTCGATGTATAAAACGCCCCGATAGTTTCAGCTTAGATCGAGACTGGGCTGCCCGAGTGACTTTAGTTCTTTATGAAGAGAGGTTGATCGTCCGATGAGAGTCAATACAGATATATGGTCTTGGGTCAAACAAGTACAGACTTGGCGCATGCGTTGTCTTGTTTCCGAGGTGTACATAGCACGGAACTTGGGCTATCTCTCAACCTCACCTGTCGGCCTGACGGTCACTCTCTTTGAGCTCATCATTTGATCATCTGAACTAACAGGATACGAGAGCAATAAAGTAGCTAGAATCGATTTTCGATGGCATTGCCTCCACGGTCACGTGTCATGACGCCTTAGGAATGAGATGCCGATGCCGATGCCGAGAGACCGGCGTCGGCGACATGGGCTGCGAGATAAGATGCGTGGGGCAAATGAGCCTGATTTTGTGTTAACCTCCCCAGAGCCGTCATATTCCAGGGGCCCTGCCGATATGAAGCGCAGCTACGAGGTATGGCCAGTCAACTCCTCTTCTCGATTCAAATTTTCTTAAGCAATGCTAGAACGCTCTGAAACTCCTGGAGAGCCGCCGACGAAAAGCTCGGCCAAGAGCGCCCGCGCTGGTCCCGACAAACCAAGATGCAGCGACCCCGACTGACAACCAAGCATTGCGGGGCGTGCCTAGCTTGGTTGGAATGGAAGACTGGTTGCGGAAATTAGGGCACTCGGTAAGGACTGTTCAAAGCTAGCATCTCATCACGCCACAATGGTTTCTTCTTACATGAATGCTGTTAGGACAATGATGTGAACGGCCTCAACATCGTTCATGTCGCCGGTACCAAAGGGAAAGGCAGCACCTGTGCATTCACCCGCTCCTTTCTTCGCACCCATGGGTTGCGCACCGGATTCCCTCAGAAGGTCGGGCTTTATACTTCGCCTGATTTGCAGTGCATCCGCGAGAGGATCCAGATCAACGAGCAGCCGATACCGGAGGAGCTATTCACTCGTTACTTCTTCGAAGTATGGGAAAAGCTGGAGGCCCCTAGTCCAGAACCTAGTGTCCTTCCTGCCAGACAGCCGCGCTATCTTCAGCTTCTCGCCCTTCTTGCGTTTCACACATTCATCAGAGAGAATGTTGATGCGGCTATATTCGAAACGCACCACGGCGGAGAATATGACGCCACAAATGTCATTCAGAAGCCGGCGGTGACAGCTATCACCGCTCTCGGTATGGATCATGTTGCGCAGCTTGGCCCCACGATTGAGAACGTTGCTTGGCATAAATCCGGGATTTTCAAGCCCGGCGCACCTGCGTTCTCAGTCTCGCAGGAGGAAGATCCCGCCGAGGTGCTGCGCCTTCGAGCTGCTGAAAGGCGGACCACTTTGACATTTGTCTCGACGAATGACTCGCTTCCGGTCA